GAGCCGTTCAGGGGTAGACTGGGGCCGGTAGGTATCGACGATCGAAGAGCTGCCCAAGTTGGAAGAGGCCGCTCGTCTCGGCAATCTGCCGGGTGTGAGGGCCAGTGGGACATGTGTCTCCCCTTGCTCTTTGTCGGGGTTGCCGGAGGTAGGTACAAACGTATGGGATCTTGTGGTCCCCGGGACAACGACGGAATTGGATAGAGCACAGAGGGTGTCTACTGTGTAGCACGGAAAGCGGTGTGAGCTGACTGATGACTCTGTTGCCATCAGACCAGACGTCATCCCAAGCCTGGGACCCTGAACTGCGGAACATGAAACAGACAGGGCAAGGCAACGGCGCCTAACACGCCATTCTCGCCGATCCTCAGTGGGCCTCTGGAGCGAGGGCCAGTCAGAGCGGGAATATATTGTAGGAATCGGATGGCGGTGTTTGGCACCAAGCTCAATATCAAGTGGAAGCGGATCGGGATTCGTCGGGCTCTGAGGGATGGACAATTTGGCAAACCCTCCTTTGTCTTTGATGCTGGATCTGCGCGAGGAGAGATTTCAGCCTGGCATCTGGCAGCAACAGAGTTGTGCGGGGTCAGGGATGAGTCCAGGGATGAGCACGTGGATACACTCGGAGATTGTATCGTCTGCCCTACTTTCCCGCTGTTGTTTTCCCGGGAGAGGTTAGGCATCAGAGTAAGTTATCTCCCAGTTGCAATGGCTAGGTTCCGTGCAAATTGCTGTCGAAGTAAGCAGCCCAGTGACCTACTGGAAAAGACGGCATTCGGGTTGCTGGAAATAGGTCTGCCGAGATGGCACCAACCTTCGGGCATTGGGCGGGGTGGATAAGATCTAACCCCTGCGGCCGCACTCGACAGCGGGGTTATCATGGCGCTGCTGCCGGAAATACGGCGCCAGAATGCTAGATTTCCGTCCTCGTGACGAATTCGGACGACCCTTGCTCAGGCCGCACAAAAACAATCACGAATCCGGGCGTCCAATCAACCGCTGATATGGATACAGGCGGTGCCAGCAGGTTGCACCGAGTGTGATTGCTCGAGCTGTTTGCGGCCTGATGAAAGGAATGAAAGGCAGTGTTTCTGAGGCTAGAGTAAAGACAGTCAAGGTCAACACGATTGGGGCTTGCAGGAACGTGATCTTCACGTTGATCGTTCGATTGTGCAGATGTCACTTGTCCCGGCGAAATAGCAAGGGGCGGATCACCGTTGGCGGCATCCGAATTGCCAACTGTTGGGTAACTGGAGGTCCGCCCAGTAATCGAGAAGTGTAGCCGTGGTGGGCAAGGTATCCAACTGTGCCCATGTATGTACGGGATACGTAAGATACTATACGCACAATACACAATTGCCCCCTACTCGGTAATCCATGCCACGGGAATGTGTACTGTGCGTTACCCTTAAGTACGTTGTGATCTTGGATAGCAAATTGCCGAGAAGGAGGCTTTGCAATGAGATACCATACTGGCTAGTGCACAAGTAACTTCACTACCAGATGTCCGGACTCGTAGTATTATGTACAGTGATGCCCGGGATTGTGTTCCCAAGATCTGGGCTGGCACCTCCGATCCGAGACGGGAATGTCAGCACCCTGCCTCCCCATACGTAGTAGACTGCAAAGCCGGACCTGAGCAGTGGAATACAGCTTTAACCCTTGAAAGTTTGTTATCGACAAGGGAGCTGTCTCAAACTAACGAACTTGAGGGGTCGGCCCGTACTGCCTGTGGAATGCCATACTACCAGCGTATATTACCACTTCCGTGTAAGAGCCGAGTCGCTGGCTTCTTGATACACGGGCATCTAGACGGTCTATAGCCGTAAAGGTACCGAGTGATTATTATACAGTACATACACACTATAAAAATACAACTTACCAGCTTGGCTTCGTACATGTGACAACTGATATAGAATTCATTCCACCAGCCAACGGCTGCCCGGATCGGGCGGCTAGCGTTAGTGCCTGAGAACGATCATCGTGTTTGCGGGCGAGTTGCGGGACAGGTGAAGCCCTGGCGCCGAGCGAGATGATGTGGGGACTGGGGAGTAGCATGACAGGGATTAAGCAAGGCTGCGTTTCCACAAAAACCACCCAGCAGCTCGGATCCGCTTTCCCTTGTCCCTTGTCGTCCACAACAAGAACATAGTGTACACTCCTCACAGTAGCTCTCGCCTTGGATGCACATATCCGTATGCATGTACACACACATATCAGTTTCGCGATGGATGAGAATGATCCGTCAAGGTCAAGACAAACCGGAACTCGCGGACACAGCGCCCGCTTATCGAAGGAGGGCACCTACTGCGGCCGCCTACGTACTTGAGGTAGCGGGGTTCGAGCACCAAGGAAACAGACATACGTCTGCATAACACCCAACAGTAGCAGAATTGTCACACTCTTTATATAGCACACTGCATGCAGTAGCTAGCAATGACAACGAAATTGACAGCCAACTCCGTTGCGCAGATGTTCTGAACCGACGAATGTGCTGGAAACAGTTGATACACTATGGAGAGATTGCTACTACCTTGTCAGTGCTTTGCAGTATGCTTCACCCCCTGCTGGACATTCCGACATGCCCGGATATGGCAGGTTCGATGGAATTTGCTCCGCCCAAAGTTGACCCACAGAAAATTCCTGTCTCTCGGTGATGATCTCATCCCGTGTGCCCATCCCACATCAACCGTTGGCGGGAGAAGGCCAGCGAATGGAAGGGGAGGGGGTTATGGAGCCCTCTGCGGAGCCAGAATACTGTGACAGTACGGAATACCAACATACTATAATCCGTACTACACGTGTACAATACAGTACAATCACCTGTATTCGTATGCTATACTAAGATTTTAAGCGGCTGTAAGAAACCTGCATATAAAAAGGGATAACATCAATAAATTATAAGCATGACACGTAGCATGACGGCTTTGTAAGTTACATAGCAATGATACGGTATTTCGCGATTGGCTCACCTCGCAGTTGAGCCGTCCTGCGGCGCCCGGTGCCAACGTTTTTACAGATCGCGTATAGGTAATACATGAATACCTCGTTAGCGCTGTATTGTACAGAACATCACGACAAGCCCAATCATTGGCGCCCGGCGAAAATTTGCGTGTGGTATACCCAATGTGAACTGCCAACGTCTTCAACTTTCCTTTCCATTTTCATTGCTTCTTCTCTATAACGTTAACCCCTTGCATATCAACTGAAACTAGGGTTCCCAGTAGCAACCGGCGGTATGAGTTGGGAGAGCACCAACAAACAGCCGTATTGCTTGTACGAAGTACAAAATCAAGGTACCTATCTTACGTGCATCAGGAAGGTGCGGTGTAGGTATTGCTCCCACCGCCGGAGGGTAACGTTACTGGGGGGGACGAAGGGAAGCGCCCGGAACCCGGTCCTCTTCGTTACTACTTTACGGTACTTACCTACAGGTTCCATAAGGGTTGCCAAGAATTACCGGTATACGGCACGCTTTGCAGCCGCAGCAGCGTTTAACACACTCTGGGAATCTCCTTGGATTTTGTATTTGTTGGTATGATCCATATATATTAAGTACCTACACTAGGGAGGGACGTGGAATGACAATTCCCTTCGCCGTTGTTCCTCCTTGCCCAGCAGGGGATGGATTTGCTGAACCCACCACCCTCCCTTGTCCTGGCAATGACTCCCGCACCATCCATACCATCGTGCGCACTGATAATTTCGGGGAATTACACTTTATGGACACAGCAACACAAAAGGACCTGCCATCCACCGCCCACCTCACCACCCACCACCATTGAAATAAAGTTTGCAGCTGCACGCACGCCATATCCTTGATCAAGCCAGCCTTTCGAACCGCAATTGTGCCCACAGTCTTATCATTGCTACGCGCACATCGGCAAAACGCAATCGCGCAGGGATCGACCACTCGATACTGAGCTCTCCATAGCCAAGCTGCGGCCCTATGTCGCATGCCGGCGTGCCTTAGTCATATTAGAGCTCATCGGCCACACCTCAAACCTCAGCTGGATCTGCGCCGGGCAGCAGAAGGCCCTGCCAAACCGGGGTTCTCGCCAATCTTTCATCCGCTTGCTGCGCCGGGCTGAGAGAGAGCCTTCTCACAGTCCTGCAAAAAGTGTGTTGGGCTGTTCTGCCAAGCCGCCAGTCTCTCTAAGAACTCGTTGCGACTCCCGGAGACGTCACTCATCCTAACGCGAGCGACAGCCTGCAGCCAAGGATATACGGGAGGCTGCCTTATTATCCATCCAATCGACGAGGCGGCACCGGGAAGGACATCGTTTTCCCCTTTTCCTGGAGTGCTGCTCTGCGCCTGGTTTTGGTGGACCGCCGAACTGCGTCCTTACACCCCTTCCCCCCCGAACCGGCATCCTGGGATGCCCTAATAGAGCCACTTGCATACGGCCTGCCACCTCATCATTCTGCCGTGGTCGACCCGGGGTCTGTCACCACACGGGCCATTCCTGGACCATCGGCGCCAATAATCGACGGGGCAAGTCGTACATCTCTGGTACCTTGGGTTGCTTTCTGTACCTGTACCCGCGGGTACACCTGCTGCACGACGACAGGTCCGACTGGCTCGGGTGCGCCTGTTACGTGCTGATCTCGCGTTGACTCTCGGTGGTCATTCATCGCCTTGCATCTGCGGCTCCGGCCGGCCATTCTCTGCCTACAAGGCGTGACACCTTCCTCCCCCGGGGACCCGCCTCTGCCAGGAACGTTGTCTATAACTGATCCACATCCCCTATCTTCCGGACAGGAGATTCGAATATCAGACAGAAACCCGAAAAATGCGGCAAAAGGCGCTTCGTCCCGCATAACCGACACGTCTCTTATAGCGGCCGTGGCGCTCCACCTTCAGACCCAGGCTCGCCAGGGCGGCTCGGCACATCCATTGACACAACGCTACAACCTGCGTGTGTTGTGTTTCGTATCTACAAGCAACTATGAGTACTTCAATCCAGCTGGACTACCCCCTAGCCCCTGCCACCTTAACCATGGCGTCAGATCCGCCTCAGACGTGGCGCACGCGTCCAAGCGAGGTCAAGACGAACCTGGGCGTGCAGACCCAGGTCGTCGTTGTACCGCCCTCAGCCATCAGCAACTCCTCGGCCTCGCCCGCCTTCAATCAACACCCGTCGCCGGCACAATCGGTCCTGACTCTCGAATCGGGCCTGAGCACGGCAAGCTCACTCCAAAAATCGCCCGAGACGCTCGTGTCTTTCCCTGACAAGGGGCTCGACGACATCGAACCATTGGCTGCCCCCTTCCAGCTTCCAGAGCCTGTCGGCGCCAGACAGCCGACAGATCCGGCTGCTTCTCAGCTAACCAGGAGGACCAGTGCATCCTCCCTGAGCCAGCCAACCCTCAGGGGCACCGGCACGGCGGCTACGGGCGAGGCCGTGAAAATGAGCCTCGCCCGCCGAGCCTCCAACTCGGTTCGCAAAGCCGGCGGCGTCTTCAAGAGACGTCCGTCGTCAACCAACCCCAGCCGGGATGGGAGCGTTGGGCCAGGCCTGATGCGCCGCAGGGGGAGCATGAGCAACGCAGTGACACCGTTCGAGACCCCCAGCACCTTCTACAGCGATTCGGACGACGATGTCTGGGCTGAGGATCGGCTCGGCAGCGATGCGTCTCTGCAGGAAGTTGGGCCACTAGGCAATGCAACCCCAGATGACGACTTCGGCTTGATCCCGCTGGCCCTTCGCCAAGGCGTGACCCTGACCAAGGTCACCAAGAAGAACAGCACCAAGAGGATAACGGTATCTCTCGACCCCGATTTCAGCAAGATCTGGTGGGACAAGAACCGGTCCTCCTCGAAGTGCCTGTACATTGATGACATCAAGGAGATTCGCACCGCCGAAGACATCCGGCAATATCGACTCGACGCCGGCCTTCCTGAGACGGTAGAGCCTCGATTCTTCTCGCTAATCTACATACCTCCGGGCAAGACGGGCACCAAGACGCTACACCTCATTGCCGACACGGACGAATCATTCCAGCAGTGGGTCCAGGCACTCGACATTATCTCCAAGCACCGGCAGGATTTTGCAACAAGCCTGATGTCGTTCAATGACAAAGCCGTCCGCGCCTACTGGGGGATGGAGATGGACAAACAGCTGGGAAAGTTGCGTGCCCCCGAGGACGAGCACATTGATTTCTCAGGTGTCGTGCGCGTGTGCCGCAGCCTTCACATCCACGTCTCCACCAAGCAGCTGCGGCAGGCATTTGACGTGGCGAAAGGCAGAGGGGCCAGCTCAGATGACTTGCCGTCTGGACAAAGCCAAACATCCCGGCTTAACTTCGCCGAGTTTATAGAATTCGTGCGGCTCATGAGCACCCGTTTGGACATCCGTCGCGTGTACCAGGCACATACGAACTATCCCGAGGTCGGGATGACGAAAGCCGAGTTTCTGCACTTCTTGCGCCATGTGCAAGGCGAGGATGTCGATGCCGACTTGGCCTCTTGGGAGGCCGTCTTTGCGCGCTTCTCCCGCAAGGGCAGGGCGAAAGACGCTGAGAAGCAGGCCACCGCCGGCGAGGAGGGCTTGATCATGTCTGAAGCTGCCTTTGCCGGCTTTCTCACGTCCACCTCCAACGATGTCATCCCCAGGGAACCCCAGAGCTACGTCCTGGATCGGCCGATGAACGAGTACTACATTTCGAGCTCGCACAACACGTACCTGCTCGGCCGCCAGGTCGCTAGCACCTCGAGCACCGAGGGCTACATCACGGCTCTGCTGCGCGGCTGCCGTTGCGTCGAAATCGACTGCTGGGAAGGACAGGACAACCAGCCAATCGTCAAGCACGGCCACTCGTGGACGTCCTGCATCTCGTTCCTCGAGGTCATCAAGACGATCAACAAGTACGCCTTTGCTAAATCGCACTTCCCGTTGTGGATATCGCTCGAGGTCCGCTGCCCTCCGGCAGTGCAGATCAATATGGCCAAGATCATGATTGAGGTTTTCGGCGACAAGCTTGTGCGGGCACCCCTTGATCCATCATCGGACCGCCTGCCATCACCGTCAGAACTGATGGACCGCATCCTCATCAAGGTCAAGAAGCCAGACGAGTCGATCAGGACCGTGGTTGAGCGGACCGGCCGGAGGCGCGGCAACAGCATGCCATCGCCATATCAGCGAGCGCTGACAATGGAGAACGTGCCCGTTCCCGCGCCGTCGAGCCCGCTTCTGAGCCCGACGCAGGCCTCTCGGTCCAACCGACAAATCAACACCATCACCGAGGGCATGGTTCATGAGCCGATCAGCAGCAGCCCCAGTGAGTGTGATAGCGAAGGCGAAGCAGCTACGGCAAAGAGGGCCACCAGCAAGATCCACCCTGTCCTGGGCGAACTGGGCGTGTACTGCATGGGGATCCACTTCGAAGGTTTTGACAGCCCCGACGCGAGGAAGTTCAACCACATCTTCTCGTTCAAGGAGAAGACGTTCGCAGAGAAGAGCCAACAGGCGTCGGGGAAGAGATCTTTGTACCGCCATAACATGCGCTACATGATGCGCGTCTACCCCAACGGCGGGCGCATATCGTCGAGCAACTTCGACCCCCTCCTGTACTGGAAGCGCGGAGTGCAGATGGCGGCGCTCAACTGGCAGACTTTCGACACGGGGATGCAGTTGAATCAAGCCATGTTCGACGGCGGCACAGCTCGGTCGGGCTACGTCCTCAAGCCGCTCGAGGGACGGCAGATCCAGGTGATGCCCAACCTGTCGCCCGACGAGTGCGTGGGCAAGCGCCCGCGGAAACGGGTCGCCTTTGAGATCGAGGTCATCTCGGCGCAACAGCTGATGCGTCCCTATAACCTGGGCGAGAAACGCACGCTGGATCCCTACGTCGAGGTCGAGGTGCTGATGGCGGACGACAAGCGGAACAAGGCGGACGCGGCCATCTATGCTGCCGCTCAACAGATGCAGCTCAAGAAGCGCACCAGGATCGTCCGCGACAATGGCTTCAACCCCGAGTTCTACGAGAGGTGCCTTTTCGACGTCATCACCAAGTATCCGGACCTGATCTTTGTGCGGTTCAGCGTCAGACTTGCCGACAAGGGGGAGAAGGGATACAACGACAAGCCGCCTCTCGCAACCTTTACCGCCAAGCTCAGTAACCTCAAGCAAGGCTACCGCACGATCCCACTGCTCAACCACGACGGGGAGCGCTTCCTGTTCTCGACCCTGTTTTGCAGGATCTGGATAGGCCCGTTCACCGACATCATGGTTTCATACCAGGAAGATGCTCCGACAAATGGCAAGAAATTGAAAAACATTGGCAGAAACGTCTTCAGCCAGACAAACACGAGTCCCAAATCCAGCATGGACAGCAGCCGGACTTGAACCGTCCATTTCCATTCCCTATCTCTCGACATATTTGTAGCAGTACTTTTATCTTTCTCTTTTTCTCTTTCTTTCTTTTTTTCTGCACATGGAGGCTTGCTCATGGATGTACAATACCAACATCATTTGCATCATTTCCCTTTGTTTCCTTTATGATCACCGGAGGGCGTTTTTGGTGCGCGGAACGGCAAGCATACTTCAGGAGGGGTCTTGGGATCTTTACATGGATTGTCGACTTGTCCTGGCGACCCGAACGGAACTCTGATACTTTGATACCCGCATCGCGAGGCTTACATTTTACGAACTGGCGCGAGGGCTATAGACGGTACGAAAGCAAGAAAAAGCGGCGGTTGTTGTTACTTTGGCGATTCGTCTTTTGTCCATTCATCCCCTCTCTGTCGATCTCTCTCCGTGTCTGTCTATACCAAAGGTGTTCACTGGTTTTCAAGAGATGGCGGCCATCTGGTTTGATGGCCGAGGCGGTGGCGCCCGCGAGTGAGACTTTACATGGGCAAGGGAGGGACGGCAAGGAAGCATAAACAACAACTCATCGGGTCGGAGAAGGCAGTGTGTTCACCTGGAAGGGGGTTTTGGCCATCTGTGCATTGCAAAGGGGTTTTGGGTCTAGCATCAGGGCGTGGCAGGGCCCCTCCCCCAACGTATCTTTCGCTTCTCGTCGCTGCTAGCCAGCACCTCCATTCATCAACTCGGGTTTTAGGTTTTTAAGGCGGTCTCGGCTGGTTCTGTGCGTGAGTTATTCCTGAGGGGGCGCGACGTTGGCGGTTGTTATTATGCATACCCTGAAGGCCAAGGCGTGATGCCATCATTTGATCACATCATATCTTTAAACCACTGTCCTTATCACATAAGTTTGCTTAGCAAAGCACCGGGGCACAGATTTGCGGGAATGTGTGGTTCTTCGGCCTCGCAAATTGGTTTCATGGAGTTGACTTGCATGGGAGCATCCGTGGCCACCAGGAGTGTGGTCCATGAAAAGGCTATATACCGAACTACTGTAGTTAGCAGCTCACGCTGCCGAATTGAGAGGAGGGGTCATCTCTCATGACTGCTTATATGAGCTTTTGCCTACATGGTGTGAATGATTACGCCCGTCAAGGAGATATTCTCCCCAAGGCCAGGGTCAGGCAGCGCCCCCCCTTTCTGAATCTCGCCAGTGTAAGCAATTAATCCTGAATCAAATCCTATTCCTTTGACTGTCATCATCGTCTCATATTGACATCATCATTCTACCTGCGGCGGGAGGAGCAGAAAACACCTGGCCGAGCCTTGGCCGGGGTTTCCATGTCTATCGGCGCATAAGGACACTTCCGAACCTCCGGTAATAGAACCTTACACTGACCAACCTATCTGCAATTGACCCGATCACGGCCACGTTCTTTGATACCAAAACTTCAGAGCAGGTCCCATAGATATCGTACATCATGCAACATACATAAGTAGCCAGGGATCTACTGTATTTGTGTTCTGTATGTATATGTACTGTATATACATACAGATATAGACGATCCAGTTGCCCCCTTCCTTTGTCCATCATGATTCCAGATTCCAATACATAGACCTGTTCAATGCCCAAAGAGAGGGGATGAGACATAGCAAATACCTAGGTAGGGGATGATACAGTAGTTACCGTGGCACAGCTTCATTGCCTAAGGTACGCTGCGGCACCGTCCATCGGAACTCCCACCTCCACATATCCTTAGTCAACTGAAGCGTAACAAAAGGAGGACCAACTTATTACCTTACCCTTACCTTGACTTACATAACTTATTAGAGATTCTTACAGGGCGAGAACGGAGCGACAATGGTACGGTATGCTACCCGTGACGGATGGAGCATGACAAGGAAGGCGTAACTGAAGCTGGCCAACACCCAGAATACTTGACTTATCATTTATAAAAGAGCGCATGTTTCTGACGAAGCGAGGGAGAACAACACATACCCAAACGTATGTGCAGTTGAGAAAAAGTGGGGGACGGGGTGTTGCAACGGGACGGACAAAGCTGGACCACGCATTCGGCACACTCACACCACCTCGTCTTTTGGTTATCCTTCCTGTAGACGAGAATCTGCCGCATACGCGGGCAAGCAAAGCATGCAAGCAAGTAGGGGGATTTAACTAGTAGACAAGTGCCATAAATCTATGTATACCTAGGTAGAGATAGCACATATATCTCTGGTGCAGACGCCCGAATATGCTAGTACAAGACGGGGGAAAGACGGCATTCGTGTATACACTAGATTATTAAGGTACTCAATCCACCCCATCATCATCATCAAGACCGTCTCGAGAGGGTCCACCTCCTTTCCCAGGATCACCGGCGGCGGAACCTCCGAGAAGCCCAGGCGACCCTGGTCCCCGCAACAAGGTGCTGGCGCCCCCAACACGCGCAGGGTTGGGACTGCTCCTCCCCCAGCGTCCGTTGGTCACCACGTTCAACGCTCTCCTTTCCGCCTCATCTCGCTGCTGCTGCTGTTGCGTTTGCTGCTGCTGTCTTTCGGCTTCGTGACGGTCGTTATCTTCGAGATCATTATCAATGTCGTCCAATTCATCCTCAATCGTCCTCCCGACCGGGCTGAGTCGCTTCAGGGATACCGACTCACTCGACCCCTGCCCCGAAACACCGTCGGCGTACAGGTTCGGATCGCGGCCTAGGATGCGGTCGGCTTTGCTTGGTGTTTTCCGTGCCCCCGCGACGCCTGGGGAGGGAAGAGGTGATAGGCTAGGCGCATTTCTGGTGCCGTTGATTAGCGGTTGATGTGGACGGGGGTGAGGTCGAGGTTGAGACGGTTGGCGGTAATGCCTCCCCGCGCCGCCCTCAGGCGTAGACACAGAGATGGTTGGGGTTATGTCATCGTCCTCATCCTCATCCGCACCCCACCCAGCCGCTCTCTCGCGCTGGACCTGCTCCCACCTCTCCTTGGCCAGCTTATCCCTCGCTTCGATCCACTTCGGATTGGGCTCCCAGGTCCACCCGTCGCCCGTGGTGTTGCACACGGGAATAACCCATAGCCATGGGTTGGGCCCGAACAGATGCAGCAGGTTGCGCTTGGGCCCGAGGTCGAATGCGTTAGGCAGCTTGGTCGAGTCCTGCTCGTCCAAGTATTCCTCGTAGCGCTTTCTGGCTCGGTAGCGCTCCATCTCATCGTAGGTGAAGCGGCGCGAACCGGCTTGCAGCTGCGGTCCTCTGGACAGAGGGGAGGACGGACCGGACTCGAGGTCATGATACCGTTGCGAAAAAGAGGGTTCGGGCCGGAGTTCCTCGCCCTCTTCCGGCCGGGTGACGCCCGGGATGGCGTTCTGGTGGATATCGAGGAGCTGTTGGCCGTAGGATGGCAAGTGCACCCCCTGGCCGGGGGTGTGCTGGTTGATGTAGGTCTGGTGCATGGAGCGACGCAGCGGGGAGAGATAGCGCGTCTTTTCCAGGCACTCAATCGTCGTTTGACCCTTGGTGGCCAGGTAGATGTGCCAGCCACAGAAGGCACCAATGACTATGCCGATGATGCCAGCGATGACGGCCAACATGATGTAGTTCACGGGCATGAGCGTCTCGACGTAGGTGGCATTGGCGACGAAGACCTCCTCCCAGACCCAGGCGCCCGACGCGGCGAAACAGAATAGGCTGAAGAAGGTGGTGTAGATGAGGAAGAGCAGGAAGGCCTTGTGGTTGCGCAGGCCGACGCAGGTGGCTAGCCAGGGACAGTGGTGGTCCATCTTGAGCACACAGCGGCGGCAAGTGGAGCAGTGGTGCGCGCGGTCGGGCTTGCGGGCCTGGCACTTCTTGCAGAAGCGCAGCTCGCCGTTGGACTTGACGGTGAAGGAGGTGGCGGCCGGCGCGGCGTGGGTCGGGAGCGTGCTGTAGCCATGATCGTTCGTGGTGCTACCGGGAGGCGTGAAGACGGCGGTGGTGTAACACCAGTTGAGCATGAGGTAGAGGGCAACGCCGGCGAGCGCAGTCGGCTTGCCTTCAGCAGAAGAAGCGGTTAGCGGGGGGGGGATAGGGGCAAGCAAAACGGCGGCTCAAAGAACACTCACCAAGCCAGGCCACCTTGGTCGGGCTGGAGCAGAGAGTGACCAGCACGAAGACTGCCCAGGTGGTGAGGCCGTAGACGAGGGCGAGCGGGAAGTACTTGGCACAGGTACAGCACGAGCGCTCGATCTTTCGCGCCCAGCGGCGAGCCGAGGCCATGTTCGGAGAGGCGGGATCAGACGGCGACCGCAGTGTCTCATCCATTCAGTTGGTGGGCGGCGGCAGTCCGTGTATCGGTGCGTCAAAGTTACTATCGGCCATCCATCGTCAGGCGTCAACTCAGTGACAGTCACAATTACGGCATGTAAAACTCGTAATTTGTCAAGGAGACGAGGTCGCAATAGAAATCCCAGGGAGCTGGGCCCCAAACTAACGCGAGCCACGCGAGCCACGGTACCGGGGCTGCTAAGCCGCCTGCCGTCAGCCTCAACATTGGATCCAATGAGCCAATGAATTCGGTGCTTGGTGGTGGGTACGGGAGAGCTTCCGCGAGACGCTCGGACCACACGGCCCCTGTCAAGTGCATTACATTACCCCTGACTTGCGGTCTGAAGAGTGAAGACTCGACCCGACCTCATCCCTGGTAACTTCCACTTACATAGTCCTTGAGCCTGAAGCCGAAAATGGAGGACACTGAATCTACGGATCTGTACTCCGTAAAATCCAAGAGTTACAATACATTCAGAGCGAAAATCCATGCTCAAAGCAGCCATCATACCTCTAATTGACAAACGCCAGCACTGCAACCTCACATATCCCATACGCGTACATACAACATTCAGAACAAACTTGCCATAGAGCCATCCTCACATTCTCTGTGTTGCCGAGAAGCAACTCTCTCTTTCAACGCAGTCCTGTTGTAACCCATACCTTTGGCGGAGCAGTCGACTCGTTTCACCACCAGCTATCCCCGTCATCCCAGGTCTGATCTTGCTTCTTGGTCTGCGCGGACTGCTTGCTCTCCGGGTTTCCGAATACCTCGCGGGCCTCTTTAGGTACCGTGTACCTCTCCGTGCCATCTGCATTCTTCTCCGTCGTATCCACAATGCCTGCTGTCAGCTGATCGAGGAATTGCCGGAAGCCGTCTGTCTCGCGGATGGTGCACCGCACACTTTGAGACTCGGCGTGCTGCGTGATGGCAGCCATGCTGTCAAACCACCGGCAGCAGCGGGGACACTGCACTCTAATCGGGATCTTGTGCGCCGGCGACAGGAGGTGACCGCGGAGACCCTCACCACTCTTGAACGACTTTCTGTCAATGTTGTTAGCACTTTGCGTCGCGGCGAGGAGTCAAGTGCAATTCTTACGTGCAGCCATCATGTGGACATCTATATTTGCCGGAGTACGTCACATAGTAGTCCTTGGCATTCCAACCCGGTTTTCGAGGGTCATACGACGCCCATTCCGTTTGGTAGTTTTGGCCGGGCTTCTCAAGGGGCTGGGGCTGGTTGGCAGTTCGACGCATCGCGGCCGGGGAGCCAGGGGCGAGGTTCTCCGGTTGCTTGCACGAGAGAGGCGGGAAGTCTGCCTCGTTTCTCATTGCAAACGTGACGGGATTCGGTCGCACTGTGTTTTCCGCCTTCGGTCGAAGTGCCGAGAGACTGCCAGTTCCCTCCGGGACATACTCTGCTCTTGAGAGGTAATCGGTGAAGTTGTAAGGGCCTTGCCGGCTAACTGTAGTAGTCTCGGTCAAGTTCAAACTAGCAACCGACAAATTGTTGTCGGGTAGTCTGGGATCTTCGCCGAAATGGCGGCGCTGTAGCTCTCTTGCAAATGCGAGCTTCTGTTCTCGGCGGGCGGCGAAGTCACTGTTTTTGATCCTAGGGCATCGGTTCTGCTCGATATGATCAATCAGCCCCCCTGCCTTGACGAACTGCGCATCACAGCCAGGGCAGGCAAGCTCCTGCTTGGCCGGGTGGAGCTGGGAGATGGGATGTTAGCCTCGTGCATCAGATTGGAGGACTGTGAAGTCGGTCTACCTGTTTCTGGTGGCGGCCCTCGGCTTGAGAAGTATGAAAAAGGATCATGCACTTCGAGCAGTGGTAATGCCCCTTGCCTTGGTTTCGTCGCTCTTGCCAATGGGCGAGGAGGGCAGACCGACTGCCCATCTCGACTTTGCACTCCTCACAGCTGACGCTCATATTGTTTGTATTCTGCGATTGGGTGAGGAGAGATTGGAATATGGCTGAGAGGTACCGACAATTGCGTGATTACCGATCGAAACAATCGGCCTTCTCCCAAGGTTCTGGCGTGAAATTGCGAGGGAGACTTTTGGTATGAAAGTATGAGGAACGTTTTGGGAGAGACGGGATGGGGGAAGGTAGTAGAATCGAAATTTAAGACTGGACTCAATCACAACTTGAACTCGGTACAGTGTCGAGTGAGAAGTTACAGTCAGGGAAGGAACGAACCTGGGTGGTTTCTCCGCCGACTTGAAATGTCGAACGAGCAGAGACGGAAGGAGCCACCATGCCCCGGTGAGGCAAGACTTGAAGTGCCATGACTCTTGATTTCCATTTTTACCGCAGGCCAAAACACCGGGCATTCATCTCTTAAATACCTTACCTATCCCACGGCAGATATGCTGGTCACGTCCGGGTTGCTGGTGGGCACCTACTCGAAGCATGAAAAGGGGATGAGTTCTCAGGCCGGAACCGCTCACCGGATCTCTGGAGTCGCATTGGACTCATCTCCCCAGCCCTTATCTCCTCAGGCCTATTTGGTGAAGGACCGGAGTTGTTGCTGTTGTTGCCGGTGAATGTGGATCTCGGAGCCGATGCCAAGACGGCCCCTTCCGGGCCCATTGCAGTGGAACCGCCGGAACGCGCTACCGCTGCATACGGACAGATGACCCTGGCCCCGGGGTGCTTGCGATGGCGAAGGAGAACTCGGCGAACGGTTTCGGATTTTGGACACTTTTGAACGAGTCATACACACACCAAAAGTGCGAGGCAGAACAAACTTTGCGTGTGTATCAAGCGCCTTTTCTTGTTCAAGGCTCGTATGCATAAGGTAATGTAAACCAGGTGGTTACATACCTGGTACTAGCACGTTGAAGTAGTAGTAGTGTAGTCAGCATTAGCCGGCCTGCGGCTCTGCCGCTTGTTGCAACCTGGCCGCTTTGTCCCCGCCAACAAGCTTCCGTCATCCATCCAGCTGCCACTTTGATGCGATCCAACTTCAACTTGACAGATTGGCAATTCCTGCATCGACTCCCACCGACCAAACCCAGCAAGATTCACCCGAGTATCGTTAAAGCTTCCTAATAAACCCTAGACCGGCAAAACAACAGGACAGGGCTTATCCACTGCCCGCGCTATGGCGGCCCCAACGCCCAAATTCAACTCCAAATCCCCCACCATCCGGCGCATTCGTACGTCTCTCCCTCAGCTTATTAGCCCCTCTCCCAACCGCGTTACTACTAGTACTACCGATCCAGAAGCTAACATCAAAACCCCACTCTTTTGCCACAAAACCAGTCCGCGAAGCCCACGAACTCACCACTTCCCCGTCACCAGATTACCACGCCGAGCCGCTAGAGTCCGACCTCTTCGAATGGCACTTCACCCTCCGCGGGCCGCCGCACTCGGCGTTCGAGGCCGGCATCTACCACGGCCGCATCGTGCTGCCCCCGTCGTACCCCTTGCGCCCGCCATCCTTCCGCTTCCTGACCCCCTCTGGCCGCTTCGAGACCAATCGGGAGATCTGCCTCAGCATCTCGGGCCACCACGAGGAGACATGGCAACCTGCGTGGGGCATCCGCACCGCGCTGGTCGCGCTCCGGACATTCATGGAGACGGATGTCAAGGGCCAGCTGGGCGGGCTAGAGGCTGGGGAGCAGGTGCGGAGGAGGTTGGCCGCCGAGAGCGTGGGCTGGCGATGTGGTGCTTGCGGTGGCGGGAAGACGAACGGGGAGATATTGGCGGAGTGTGAGGCGCGGGCGCAAGAGATGGCGGGACAAGGGGCTGGGGTGGAGGAGGTCAAGGTGCCGGAGGAGCTGAAGATGAGGTGGAAGGACGAGATGGAGGGGCAGAAGAACAAGGGTAAGGAGAGGGAAGGGGAAAGGGCCAGCGACGATGAGGAGAGTGCCAGGCTAGCGGAGGGCTTTGTGCAGACTGCAGTGCCGGCAGCTCCGAGGAACGCGGAGCCGGAGGCGGGGCAACGCACAGCGGGAGGGAGTACAACATCGCCTGCAGTAAGACCAGTACCAGCACCGAGGCCGCCGGGGGCTGCTCCGGGTCCGGCGTTGCAGCAAGTCCAGCCAAGGGTGGCCGAGGATGTGCCCGTCTGGTTAGACCAACTGATTATTGGCATTGCTGTCTTGTTGGCTGCTGTGGTCCTCAAGGTGATGCTGGATTGAGTCTTTTTATTAGCGCCTCGGTCTATCTGGTTCGGTGTGGGGGTTACTGTGAGCATGTCAGTTTGGACATGGGAGTTGAGGCGTTACATATAGACAGTCATGGTCCCTGTCTCAGGTCCTTGCGGTATTCAATCGCCTGGTGCCTTTCGAAGCATCAGCTCAACACACGTTGCTCGTCACAGGAAAAGAGAGCGGCCACTGTTGAGCCGTGAGACTCTGTTACCTGATAGGTGTTATCCACTAGAACATAAATAAGGGCAAGAATCCTCCTCGATCCTCGACAAACTCCTCCACCAACTTTTCGTTAAGCAATAAACAGTAAATGTACAGCTATAAGGGGTATCGCTAGGGAAAATCCAACCTCTATCCCCCGATGTTTTCCCATTGCCGCTCAGATAGACACCCATACCATGACACAGGCTAATAAAAAGAAGCAGGGTCACTCTCCCATCGATCCGAAAAATCCTCTCCTCACCGCTAAACCCCCTCAACAACCCTCGAGGGGCGCGACGAAGGCAGCGCCTTCCTCTGCTTCCCACCGGTAACCGTCACTGGCCCCGTTGGCGCCGAAAATTCCACCTCGGCCGGAGCCGGCGTCCTCAATCCCTCCCGTTGCGCCTCGATAGCCATCCACCACCATTCCATAACAGCGGGCGCGCACCCCTCTAGCTGTGCCTTCAACAAGCCCAGCTCTTCCGCCCATTCCATGATCATCTCGGCCTCGAACAGCATGATGATAGGCTTGAGCGTCTTGACCACGTCGGGGGCCCGCATCGAGCCACGCGAAGCAAGTGTGATCAGCACCGCGCTCAGATACTTGAGCCAGCGTTCCGTGTGGACCTTGCCAAAGACGTCGCACCAGACCGGAACCGCGCCGTCGGGGCCCTTCGTGGGCGGTCGGGCAGCTTTGACACGGGCTATGAAGTCGGCGAGAGACGTGTCTTCACTGCAATGGTCGTTATGGTTGGCAACGACCTCGTTGTAGACATAGGACTCGGTCGGCACGACGTCCAGACGGAAGTGCAAGTACTTCTTGGTGTACTTGCGCGTCTCGTAGTTGCCCGGCTCGTGTCCCATGGGCACATTCGGCTGACCCGTGGTCTCGATCCGGACGCGGCCATTGGCTTGCAGGTTCAGCAACGCCATGATCATGCCGTCACTGGTGAGGTACGTGACGCGCTTCTTCTTCTCGCCCGCCCTGAAGGCCTGATCGAGCTCCTTTTTGAACTGCACTGCCTTGGCGAACTTGTCTTGCTGAGCTTGCTTCTCAAGCGAATCAAGCACTCGCGTGTTGAAGCGCCACTTGCGCCCGTTTGACCACTTGGAGGACGACTTGGAGATGACGCCATGCCGCTGGAGCTGGTCTACGCCCTTAATCATCAACTCAGTAATCTCCGTTTTGCTGCGGCTCGGGAACAGGCTGTTGCGCTTATGGAGTACTGCCTCTGCTGTGTACGCTTCGACAGGCGTCACGCATAGTGATCGCGTCCAAGACATGGCCACGGTCATCTCAGAGCTCTGCTGCGGATCTGGTATACCGTCCACGGCGATGGCGAGGGGCTCGGACGTCGCATCTTGGAATTTGTTGAAGCTGGACCGTTGCGGGTGGTAGAAGGCCTCTCTCCATTCGCGGTTCCCGTGCTTGAACTTGGACACCGTGAAGCTTTCCTCCAAGGCCTCGCGTGTCGATGGCAGCGTTCGTCGCTCAGCCATGTCAAGGTTCGTGGTCCACTTGATCAGGTATTTCCAATCGTATGCCAGAACGTTGTCAAAGTCGATAGGCGGCACCTCGTTGTTTTCGTACGCCTTGAGGAAGGCCCGCCTAAACTTCTCTGTCAAGCTGACAATGGTCGACTGGCGATCCTTCCGTAAAGTACCCCAGTAGTGTCTGAGTTGGCTGAGCCTGTTGATCGTTAGTTGCCATCCATTGCCAGGCCTCGAGATGATTCGCTTACGTTTGGTCAGGCATGAGCCTCATCATCAATCCCCAGTCCACAACCCTGTCGACACCACCGAGCAAGGTAGTAACCACAATAAACGCTGCCAGCCGGACGTTCTCACTGGACCAGTCGAGTTCCTCATCCTCCTCGTTGGCCGCGCGTAAGAAGTCTTCCGCCGACTTCGGGTACGCGGTGTGCTCACGCATCGTTTTGATGGGCAGCAATTTGAGCTTGGGGGGTCTTCCCCCCTTACGCCTTGGCTCTGACCCGGCCATTTTCCCTCCGCGGCGCCTCTTGGGCGACGACCTCCCCTCTCTCGCAAGATACCTCTCGGCGTCTTCGACATAGTTAACATCCCCGTAATCGTCATCTTCTAGATCTTCGTACGGGAGAGTTTCGAGGTCGTACTGCGTCTCTTCCGACCACTTCAGAGTGACCGGACCGTTGTTGACCTTCGACAGGGAAGGCGAGACATTAATGTAGATGTCAGCGGGGGCCACCGAACTGCCTAGTATCACTGCCGTGCCGGCCGGTGATTGCTCCCACGCTGCACATTGATTCACTAAGCAGCAAAACTTGGCATATTTCCTGTCGATCCAGTCGCGCGGGTTGGTTCTACCGGCCGGCTGCTTCTCAGCCATTTCCTCTGCGCTGAAAGGTAGGTTTTGGGCGAGCAGCCACCTCTGACCGGGCATCCATCCACGCAAGGTGAAGCTGGTACCGTGGTGCTCAAAGAAACCGACAGGATGGTCAGCCCAGCTACCTTTCGATATAGACTCCAGAATTGAGGGGCACACAAATGTGAGCTTTTGCTGCTCTTCGACCGCGATCTCAGTTCCCGCCTGTGACTCGTTGACTCCGCCCCCGTCGAGAACATCTTCACTGGTTTCTCTGCTCGAATCCCGACTCTGGCCTTGGTCTTCAAGTTCTTCAGCATCATTGTCGAGACTTGTGTTGGGATCCAAAAAGTGGATCCTTGGCATAGATAGCTCGAATGCTGTGTCCTCCGCGCTACATCTGAAGAAGAAGCTTTGGGGCAGACTAGCCAACCCGGGGTTCCTCATTCTACCAAGCTCGCGCGGGAATTTGGTCAACGTCTTGACCGTGTACGACCTGCGCTGGCCACGCGGTCCGGATCTCGATGGTAGCAGGCTGTAAGCCTTGATCGCCTCTAGGACAGAGGGCTGTCCCTCGGCAGATGGATCTCCTGAGATACTAGGATCCACCGGTATGTCGCCGTATGGAGTCTCTTGGAGCTCAATCTTGATTCTTTTCTGGGACGGACCGGCCGAGCTCTCATCGTCAACTGACCGCTTCTGGCCAGCAAAGCCACTCCCCAGGTCCCTCTCAGACTCCCAAATCCAGAGAGGGTCCTTCCGAGGTTCCATGGGCGGGGCGCTCTGAGTGTAGTAAGGTGCATTGAAGACCTCTACTTCCTCGATTAGCTTCCGCCTGCTGCGGAACTTTTCACCGTTCGCGTTCGGCTTGCTGCTTGGCTTCTGGTCGAGCTCCTGCAACAAAGCCAACTCTTCCGGAGTGGGCGAGAATGGAGCTGGAATGTATAGTCCAGGGTGCGCTTCACGCATCTTCTGCTTCATCATGCCGGCAACCACCCCATTCGGATTCACACCGGACTTAATGAGAAGGCTGCATGTCTGCAACCTTCCTCTGTCCGTCTTGAGCATATGCGTGTGCATGGTGGCCAAATTCCGAGTCTCCAACGCCTTGACGGCGCCCTGGTAGTTCTTCCACGTGGGTGGCATTTGACCCCTGAACTCCTCCAAGAATACCTTGGTCACGGCATAGAACAGAGCCCTATCGCCCGGAAACACACCTCCGTTGTTGTCCAGCAAGTAACTGATAATGTCAAACGCCTGGGCGGTCCGCCTCTTGGCTTCACTTGACACGCGGTTGTAGTTTGTGGAGGGGACGAAGAGTTTCGAGCTTTGTTGGCCCTCGTGCGGTTCTTGTCGTGTATCTTGCTCACCATTGTGAGGGGGGAGCTCCGGGTATTCACTTTGAGATGAATTCTCCTGATATGGGTTCCGCGCAGCAAATTCGTTCGTAGGCCTCAAAGTGAAGTCATCGAGAATGGAACGGGACAATGGCTTGTCAGCAAGCGTATCAACCGCCATCAGACGATCACTGGAAGCTTGCGCGGCCGCGGGCGTTGCCGGGGCTGTGGCCAGGGAAGCAGGAAGCGGCTCCAACTGATGGTAGGTAGGAAGGGTATCGATAACTGTGGCATCACCAAGCCGCGTGAGATTTCCGGACGCTCCATTCTCGCGGCTGGGGTCGGCTTCAGGCTGCGGAACTACGCCACCAGGCGTAGGGCTGAGTTGGACATCAGAACACCTCCCAGAGCCGAGGACGCCTGGGTGAACCGTGAACGGAAGCTGTTCTGCAGAAGCCTCCGCCCCCGGCTTCTGTTCCATACTCAGCCAACTAGCCTGTGACACAGCGCGCCTGTATGCCAACTCGGCCCGTTCCACTGGCGGCGTGGTTGTTTCTTCTTCACTGCCGTGATCCGAGAAGTTCAGGCCACGGATCTTGCGGGCTGGATCGTGTGCAGAGCGCATAGCAGTGCGAACTTTTCGATGTAAAGGCAGCAGCTTCTTCTCGCCCTTCCGTGCAGTTCTGGACTGGCGTGTGCGACTCGTCAGTTTCTCGCCAACTGCTTCCGAGGCGGCAGAAGAGGGCCGCGGCGGCGCTGGAGACAGCTTGCGGCGCTTTCGAGACTTGTTTAGTAGAACGGCAGGGTCAAAGTTCGGGTTACAAGGCACCTGAGCCTTCTCGAGATGGTATTTCAAACCAATGTCATTTTTCCAGGCGCCGCCACACGTCGAGCAGACGTATGGTTTTGCTCCCCCAGGCCCAAGCTGTCCTCTCTTCTTACCCTTGCCACGACCGCCTCCGCGGCCGCGCTTTCCGCCGCGAGTCGCTCCGGATGCTGGCGGCGCAGCCTCAACCGTGATCTCCTCGGAGGCGACCTCAATCTCACCAGACGCTGGCTGCTCAGCGGAGACGTTGACAAGCTTCTCATCCGTGGACGACTTCAGCTTAATGATTTCTTGCTGGATCCAGACAGCATTGTTGTAGCTTTCGCCGCCAAAGATAAACTCGTAAGTTGGTGCCGAGTCCCCACCCTTGGCTCCCGTGGTCAGAACCAAACTTTTCTCCTGGCTCTCCGGTACATCCCGTACGGCTGGCTCCTCAAGGCTGTCGTCCACGGGAATAATGACAGGCTTCTTCAAACCTCGGCCAGATCTCAGCCAAGTGAGATGGCGGTCCGAAAGGTGGAGTTGCAGCTTTCCCAAGATACCATTATATAGTACGTTCATGATTAGGTCCTCGTCAGATACGTTTCTCGCAATTTCCTCGTTGTCGCCGTCCCCCATGGTAGAAGCGGCCGGAGCGGCTGGCTCTTGGGTGGTAGACGACTCAGCTCCGCCGTCTTCCATATTATCGGCCTCCTCGATGGTCTCCTCAAAGCGCCGCTTCAGAGATGACTTGCTTTCAGACTCGGCTAGCTGTCCCTCTCGATCTACCATCGCGGTGTCTTGTCCAGTCGCTATCTCCTGAGACATTTCGGCTGCAGCGATGTGTTCTGCTTTGAGACGAGGCAAGAGCTTCCGTTTAGTGGAAGCCTTGTATTTCTTAGCGGTCCGCGACAACTCTGAGAGCGAAATATTCTCTCCTTCAGCAAAGGCTCGGGGTCGAACGGCCCCAAAGCCGAATGGATCCGTGCTGATAGAGTTTAACGAGTTCTCAGCCGGCTTATCCACCTCTTCCATTGTCTCTTCGTCAATCTGGGACCATGCGGTTTGCTCTGCCGCTCCTGGCGCTGAAAACATGTAGGCAGATGTCTTGCCTGTGCGTACAAGCCTGCTAACGATCTGGAATTTCTGAAGATGAGGCGGCTGTTGTGTTTCAGCTACCTTGGTAAGGTAGCTCGAGAGGTATCGCCGATGTTGGTAGCCCACTGTGGCCACACTGACCTGAGGGTTGGAAGCTCCTTCAGGACCGGCACTCCGAATGACCTCAAAGACAGTCTGGGCCAGAGGCTTCTCGGGCGTCCAGCCGCTGAAGATGCGCTTCAGCTTGGACCGGTCGGCGCCAGTCCCCCGGCCATGATCGTCAGATTTCCCGTAAAGCGCAAGCGCATTGGGTTTCGGCTCGCGATGCCTGGTCGCGTCCGAATACTGGGATGTCTTCTTGCCCGTGGCAAGGAACCTGTCCCACTCCTCCGCGCTTGGTTCCCTCACGAACTTGATACAATCCTTGAACACCTTGCGCGAGCCCGGAAAGGAGGCGGCGGTGTATTTCAGCACACCCAAGTCCACCAGACGTTGACAGTTCTTGGCAAGCGTCTTCATCTGCCATCGCTTGCCCTCGACGCCCATCTTCTGCCGTAGGTCGGCGTACCGCATGACGTTGAAGGCTTTGAGCACGCCGACAGCGGTTCTGCCAAGGGCATCCATATCGATGTTGTTTCCGGTCCAGCGGGGATGCCAAGGAACAGGCTCCAGGTCTTTGCTGAGCGTCTCGGGTGACAGGTCGAGGCCGCCCGTCTCTTCTTCGACAAGCGGAGGGGCAAAATCAATCAGCCATAGTCTGCTAGTCTTCATTTTCTTCACCACGACTGTCCTCTTGGCGATATAGCCTTTCCGAGCAAGCGAATCCGTCCGCTTCGGTAACGACCGCTTGTCCTGGCCAACCAGGCGGCGGAGGTCGCTCTGGAGAATGCCCTCGGCCCTTGCCGCTGCGATGCCTTGCAGGCATGCCCATTCCAGTGCAGGTACTCGCTTGTAGTCAACATTGTGGCGAGTCAAAGTCTGCCAGACCAAATCCTCGGATGCGCATATCCTAGGCCGAGTGGTGAGAATCTGTTTCGCCCTTTTGCCCTTGGACTTTTCGCTTCCGTCGGCTTCCCCTGAGGCTGACGCGAGTGCTGGGTCGATGGAGTCGGCTTCTGGCAGGGCGAGGGCTTCGCTCAGCTCCAGTCTGTTCCACCGCTTATTGCCGTTGATGAGAATCTGTGATTGAGAACGCAGCCAGTCCCAGGCCCAACGGGCAGACGCCATCTCTGCCTCACTCAATGATTTCTCGATGCTGCTGGGATCCTCGAGTGACCCCTGAAAGCCCTTCGCTGCGAGGTCGTGCGCTGACGCATCTTGCCCACCAAGATTCCAATGATATTGCCGGACTATTTTAAGCAACTCGGATATCGACACTCCTGGAACCGAGTTAGTACCGCTCATAAAGAGTGGCGATTCACGCCGCGTGCATCCAGCAAGCGCAGAGTTATCACCACCCCTCCTGGTGAACCCCCAGCCCTGAGCATAAGTGATGCTTTATGGAATAATATTCGATGGAAAATACACAGCTCGCTGAAAACACTGTAATGGCGTTGCGAGAAAAAAAGGTGCATGCGACTTGTATGCCACTCACCTTTCTCACCAGAATATGCGATCTCGGGAATGAGGCCTTCCAGCAGGACCTCGAGACCGACTCCGCTCATGATGGCGAGATGGCTACTCTCATTTCCAGCTGTCTAAAATTTTTAGCAATGGTGAGTCGATGTGGGAATTGAACGCTGATGCTCGCGGTTGGTGGTTGGCGAGAGGGATGAATTTGGATGCGACAGGATGCACAGGATGCGGGAGGTTTTTTTTCTTGGAGGGGCGAATCGGGAAGCCAAGGTGGGGTATTGGTATGCTCTGAGGTGCACAACGTGCGTCACTGATTCTCGCATTTCACCTCGATAGCACAAAGGAATGGGAAATCAGATATGCCCGGGTATCTCTGAATGCGCAGCCATACAAAAACAGTGACGCATCATTCAGCCAAGGCTCTCAGTTTCTGGGCAATGGAAGCCTAGCCGGCAATGTACATTCAGGAGTCACTCACCACAGGAACTTCAAAAAGCATTCGCTCCATATCGACCGAAGTGCTGGCCCTGTGCATAGAACCACCTTTGACACCAATCTTGTGAGATCCTCAAGTGCCCACGGCAGGCCTTTTCTCACTCATCATCTTTCTGTACGAAGCCACCACCTCTTGCCGGATACCCTGCAGCTCCTCTCTCTGCCGCAAGCTGCCCGCAGCCTTGGGGATGTCGCCAACCGCCACCGTCGCCCCCCGAACAAGCGAATTCTTCTTCGGCAGCTTCAACTCCGGCGGCGCCTGCGCCACGTCGTGGATGCCGACCTTCCCCTCTCCCCTCTTCTTCTTGACTTCCTCCCACGGATCCCCCTCCGGTCCTCCCTCTTCCCCGATATACTTCTTCCCCTTCTTGCCCTTCTTTTTCTTCCCCTGCGCCTCGAGCTCGAGTTTCCACGAGACGCCGCCTAGCGCCTCATTCTCTATCTCCTTCTCCTCTTCCAGCTCGCGCTCCTCCTCGCGGCGTTCCTTGATCTTCCGGTCGATCTCCCGCCACTCGGCGTACATGTTGTGCATCTTGCGCTCCTTCTTGGTCCGCCGTACCTTGAGCCCCAGAGGGTCCTTGCCGTTCCTGATCGTCTTGTTGACCAGGCCGCTGATGGGCAGAGCGGCGTCGACGCGTTGGTTGAACTCGGAGAGGCGCTCGCCCGGGCGGATCTTGAGGTCCTGCGCCGGCGTGGAGTTGGAGGCTGACGTGATGTCGATCTTGTCCTTATTTTCGGCCTTGCTCTTCTTTTTGCCTTTGCCCTTGCCCGCCGGCGTGTCGCCGTTGTCTAGATTGTCTCGTGGTAGCTTGCCGTTGGCAAAAGCCATCAGCCGTTTGAAGGCGCGCGGAGCATCGTCGGCATTTGCGCTACCGCGTTTCCGCTTCTGCCCGCTCTTCGCTTGGGCATCATCGGCTTTCTTCTGCGCCGCTGCCTTCTTTTTGGAGATAGTTGTGGGTGGGAGCGGCTTTGCTATTTGCGATGGTGGGAGGTCGAAGCTGCACATTGTTAGATATAGGAACACAATCCACCCGACAAGAATAGCCGCTTACGTCGACTCGTCCTTCTCTCGCCTAGTATGCTTGTGCGGCATTGTGCGCGACCAGTACCGTCAGTCGACAACAATGTGGTTGAACAGGTACTTGTTCTCGACCCAACGGACTGTCCTTCATTCACAAAATTTCCCCACAGCTACTAGTCGCGATAAGATAAGAAAAACGGAACCAGTTCCCGCTCAAGCGGGCCGGCTGTAACCCTGAAAGCCCCGACCCTTGAGCCACTGACGCCCTGACTTGAACCCATGTGCTGCTCGTTGTTCGGACGAAGCGCCCAATGATGTGTCTTCCGCACTTGCACATGGCTGAAGTATTGATTTTTGGCGACAGACTTCTCAACACACCGGCAGATATGAGCTGGTTGCGCATAATGGCAAGCTCAGGTCGACTGACTATGGTCACAAGCATTGTAAGGTTGGTACCCCCAGATCCTTCATATGGCCGCGCTAGGGGTCTAGATGCAAGTGGGACGCCGGTTGAAACGGCAGGTGCAGTCACTCTCGATTTTAGCTCTATATTCGAGGTTCCGAAATAGGTAAACACGATGCTGCCACTTGCCTTCGTGGCGATTTAGTGGTCTCGCTCATAGTCTATAAACACGGGGGCCACACCTTCTTGTCCCTTGCTTGTCTCTCCTGGTCTCTCCCGTCATTCCTCCCCTCCATCGGCATAGTGCCCGCTTCCCGGTTGTATTTACGCTCGCAGTCGCCATCGGCGAATGACCACCGAGTCACGACTGGCGACGGGCGGCCAGTGATACTCGCATCCCACGCTCTGAAACTTTGTCTCTCTCGTGACCTCAGTCAGCAACAGCACGTACACAGTAACGCCTGGATCATGCGCTCGCAGTCGGTGGGGCTTGTGGAGGTCAGGGGCCGGGACCGGATGCCGATGGTAACACAGGAACTCGGAGTTGTGGAGCTCGGGAATGGCCGGCCGCCTTTTTCAACACGAGCGATCCCCGAAAACGCAGCTCTAGACGATGTACGAAGCACATTTGGCATTTTGCCGACCCTACGCTCTATTATGGCGTCCTGGAGGTCCGAGAAGCCCGAATCGATCGTGGCCGTTGAGTACGCCCCAATCCCGGGCGGTGTGGAGGATGCGGAGGATGGTGTCGACAGCGACCAGCTCCGGATCTCTAAGCGCTTCCCCGGAACAGTCTGGGCGCGGTATTCGTGTCTTTTGGGACTGGCCATCCTGTAAGTCAGACGCCCCCCGAAGGGAATACACACAACTACTAACCTTACCACCAGCGTCATGGTCCTTGTCGCCGTAAGTATCGGTGAGGCAATAGCACAACATATCCTCGGAGAGTCGGAGGCCAAGGACCCGGACGGCCCGTTCGGCAACTGGGGCAAGCCGGGCACGGGTACCGAGCAGCTCGCCTGGTACCCGACAGACTTCCTCCGGGACGTCATCCCCGTGCCTTGCCACTCGCACAACGACTACTGGCGCAAGGTGCCCCTATTTTCGGCGCTGTACGCTGGCTGCACCGGAGTCGAAGCAGACGTCTGGCTGCGCGACGGGGACCTCCTCGTGGGCCACGATACAGCAAGCCTCCAGGTCAACCGGACCTTCCAGACGCTCTACGTCAACCCGCTAGTCGAGATCCTAACCCGCCAGAACCCGAAGACGAAGTACTACAATGGAACCGAAAACGGCGTCTTCGACACGGACCCGACACAAACGCTTGTCCTCCTCGTCGACCTCAAGACCGACGGCCCAGAGACATGGCCCTGGGTGGTAAAGCAGCTGACACCCTTGCGCCAGATGGGCTGGCTCAGCTACTGGGAGAACGGGCATTTCAACGAAAGACCCATCACCGTCGTCGGGACGGGCAACACGCCGTTTGACCAGATCCTAGGCGGACCCAACACGACGTATCGCGACGCCTTCTTCGACGCGCCGCTGGACAAGCTAGAAAACTCGCCGTACAACGCGACCAATTCGTATTATACGAGCGTCAGCTTCTGGGACGCTGTTGGGCAGGTGTACTTGGGAGCTGGGAACCCCAGCGAGGAACAGCTGGAGAAAATCAGAGGGCATCTGCGCGAGGCTCATCGGCGGGGCCTGAAGGCGCGGTACTGGCAACTGCCCTCGTGGCCGATCCACGTCAGGAATCGGCTCTGGGAGGTGCTGGTTCAGGAGGGGATTGACATGCTCAATGTTGATGACTTGGCGGCTGCTACGAAGCAGGATTGGAGGAAGCCGGGAACATTGTGGGGGAATCCCCTCCGGTGCTGGTGGTTCGGTTAGCAGTAATAAACCAAGGGGAATGAAGAGGAACTAACAAGCGGGAAAGAAGGGAGAACCATTCTTGAAGGTCATGATACACTTTGCTTGCACGAAATGGCTACGACATACCAAGATACCAACCTACCTTCTGTCGAGCAAGTCGCATTATGCCGTCCTCTCAACCCCGCTCCATCCCGAGATTCCGGTTTATCTCCTGCGGGGGGAGGGGGCCATTAGCGACGCGCTCATCACCCACCAGAGGTGGGGTTCGTGAGCTCATACATCTCCGGTGTCGTCTCAGCGACCACCAATGCGGGTAACGGGACGGGAGATGAGGGGGTTCAGGTTGAGGGGGTTCAGGTTGAGGGGGTTGCTCCACGGTGTTATAAAGTGCGACGTCTGGAGGGCGTAAACGGGTGCAAGTATTATCGAAAGTCACCTACATCACAACGCTCCAATCCAACTAGTCAGACTCATACGAGATACTAGAACTACAAGCAAGATACATTACGGCCGCCATTCGATAGTATCCAATATATATAAAATTATTATGTCAGCACCTGAGAGACGCTCATCCGTCATGGCGATTGCCGAGCAACAACCAAGACTCGCGAGCTTGGATGTAAGTTCCAATTTCCAAGAGAGACTACGGTACTTTCGAGGTATGCACACAATGGGAACGGAAGAATTAATGACAACAAATCTCTCTCACCTAGTCGTCCATCGTGGACCGCCTCCCCTCTTACTCGGCGACGCTGTTCGAAGCCAAGTCGCAGAAGCGGCTCACCTTTGAGCAGATCGCGGAGCACCTTGGCCGGAGCGAGGTGGCGGTCGCGGCGCTGTTCTACGGCCAGGCGCAGGCTTCGCCGGAGGACGCGGCCAAGCTGACCAAGCTGCTGGGTCTGTCGCAGGAGTCCAACATTGCGTCGCAGATGATGGGCTTCCCCGACCGCGGCCGTGCGGGGCCCATGCCGCCCGTCGAACCGCTGATCTACCGGCTGTACGAGATCGTGCAGAACTACGGCTACGCGTACAAGGCGGTGCTGAACGAGAAGTTTGGCGACGGCATCATGAGTGCCATCTGCTTCAACAGCAAGGTCGAGAAGGAGGTGGATGAGAACGGCGCCCCCTGGGTTGTCATCACGCTCAAGGGGAAGTGGTGAGTGCCGACTTGATTTTTGATTTTTCTTTGAACACCTTCTCACACCCCCGGTGAATAATATCTCGTTCCGTGGTGCGATGGGAAGTCCTTCCTTCCCCGGTGACTTGTCGCAAACAACCAAACCCGCCTGCCCTCGGCTATCCCGACCCCGTCGTGTTTCCCTGGTCTGACACTTCCGGACGCCACTGCTGATCTGCTGCCATGAACAGGCTCCCTTTCACTCGCTTCTAGACCGCCAGTCGGCGATAACGGGCGCGTCGTGGGCGGAAATCGGGGTGTTGTTGACTTCACTTCCTTTCTTCACTGGGGCGCCGACGGTGCCGAAAGAAACCCGAAGGATAGGGAGTGCCTGTCCAGAAGGCAAACTCGAGTACGGGAGTCATTCTTCTCGACTTTGATTTGATTGTATCCGAAATTCGTCGCTGTCGTGGTGGGTGGGCTGGACTGCGCGTGACGATTAAGGGGGCAGGGGGAACAATACTAAGGGGCTCAGGGGGGAACAATACTAAAGGCGCCACAGCGGCCACATCACCACGACTCTTATCTCAACGGCGAACAAACACCATGGAAAGTTCCAAGATCCACTAGATCCATCCTAGTGTACAATCAAAGAGTTCAAGGAATGCTAGTTCCTGACAATTCAAGATTTGCACGTTGTTCTATGTCTGTATGGGGTCTAGAAGCCTTCTCGCTTGCCACACCGGCCCAGTCGGTCTCCTTGTCCGCGAGACTACAATACTAAGGAACTACAATACTAAGGACGACGATTCCAAGGACGACAATACTAAGATCTTCGCCTCCTCGACAAGGATGTGAATGCTCTTTCTGCTTGCTTGTTTGTCTGTCAGGAATCCAAAGCGAGGAATGTATCAAAGGGTGCAGCTTGCTATTCTCTGCCCGAGGGTGGTCGGCAGCAAGAATAGCAACGCTTGAGTATGGCCTCGACGTGCTGGAAGGAATAGTATAAAAAGACTCATCTCCTCCGGTCCAGAGTCGGCCTCTCTCTTCCGATCATCAACGCACTATCACAGACGCATCAAGAACATCTTCAGTTTTTTCAAAGCAAAAATCAAATCAATCAACATGCCTTCCACCACTGCTCAGACCAAGGTCCCCCAGACCTCCACCAACTTCAACGCCTACTGCGTTGTCATGTAAATGACAACCGGGGGATAACCCGGTGCGAGCAGGCCCGCACAAGCGCACCTCCGCCGTGAAGAGGAGCCTCTGTGAACCTCTTCGACAAAACGTCCACCACCGATGGCTCTCTCAGGCCAACATCCCACACCAGAAGAAGCCCTCTCGCTTCCTCAGGACCTCTCCCGGCTCCCCCCTGAGAACTCCATCAGAGATGCCCTCGTCGCGCGCTTAGCCAGCACATCCTTTCGTCGACCGGCGCTCAACCTCTACAACACAACGAAACTCCCGACTTTCCTTGCGTTCGCTTCTCGCAAACCCACATTTTCACCACAATGACGGCGGACCGGAACACATGCAGCCACGGATCTCTGCCCCTTTTATCGGCTCTCTCTCGCTTACTCCGGAGACCCACCCCATCGCCTTTTGCTCGACTGAGTCAAACCGAACGTTTTATACGCCTCTCGATTTCTCATTTGCTCAACCATGACATACTCCCCCTTCTCTCGTCGGGTGGGCGACGAGGAGATTCGCGACCTTCTTGTCCCCCCCATACGCCAGGGTCGGGGGCTCAGATGAGACGGGTGATGCATATGCTTTTTTCAATCTCCCTTGGTTATATACGGCTTTGGTGACGGACATAGGGGGCACTCAACTGTGGTTGTTTGAATACGGCCTTGCCTTTTTTTCGGTACTACTAGTTGGAGCAGGAGATGGTACATAGAAAATCTAGCCGGTTGACATGCCTTGATCTGTGCGTGATTGTGTTTTGGGATCTGCCATAGTTGGAGGAGTATGCTTGCTAGCTAGGTTGAAAATGCGGTGCCCAACTTCTCCTAGTCCCAGTGCCTCCCTGGCTTGAGAACTTTGGGTAGACGTAGATAGCCAGCCATTTGGGACAGTGAAAACGGCGAATGTATCTCTCTCTTAGCATTTTGGACATGTCCATCCCTCTGCTCAGCTGCTTATAGCTAAGGTACGTAATCTTCGGGGCCCGACTGTGAGGTCAGGGCAAGTACTGTTTAGGAGGAAAAACGAGACACCAAGCAAAACTTTGAAAAAGGGTGATGCGACCGCGAATCGAACATGTGGTCCTACAAAGTCCACAGCAGGGCTACGCACGTGGAGAGTGTTTGACAATTTTTCACAGCTCGACTACTACCCCACGAAGAGTTTCGAGGCGATGTGTGCGGTTGCAGTGTTGGTTGGAAGGAGAGCCCACCAAGCTACCTTATATACCCAGTATCTTATTCTTTTTCCCACCCACGTGTAGATACGGGACAAAGCCATGACGCCTTTCCATTCGTCTTCGGCTCAAAACCAACGAAACCAGCAGCGTGAGAACGATAGTGCTGGCATAAACTGCTTCAGGGCTTGAAGCCGCCGATGACTTACACCGTGACCATTTGGCAGGAGAAGACGACAAGATAAAGGGTTAGGGCTGGCTGAGCGAAAGTGAGAGTACTACGTGAGTGCATGCTGACGCCCCACCATGCCCATCCTCCCGTATCTTATCTTATCTCCCAACGGTCAACCAAAAAAAGTTTCCAACGTTCAGAAGCTGCGAGCGCTCATCAATCCATCGTCCCCACCACCAACCAGCAGCAAAGATGGCGAAGAAAGGCGCGACACAGTCCCCCAAGGCAGGGTCAAAGCTCAAATCCGCGGTTCCAGACCACAAGCCCAAGACAAAAAAGATCGACAGGAGAAAGTCGAACGAACTGGCTGCGCCAAAAGCTGTCGATAAGGAGGACGAGTGGGAGGACGAGGACAGTGATGATCACGAGGAGCCGGCGCCAAAAGTTAATGGCAGCAAGACTGCCAAGAGGCCAGCTGAGGATGCAGATTCAAGTGAGGAGGATAGCGACTCGGAAGGTAGCGAGGACGACGAAGAGCACGGCGGCATCGACCTTGCGGCGATAGACGACTCCGACTCGGAATCAGAACTCGACTCAGATGAGGAGACTGAAAGGAACGATGGTAAAGGTGACAGAGGAGAGGAGAAGGAAGACAGTGAGGATGAGGAGGACGAGGAGGACGAGAAGGAAATTGACGTCGATGAGCTTTCAGCCGAGGATGAGGAAGACGAGGAACAGATCGCCGCAGGCACCCGCGTCCGGCAAACAATCAATAACAAGGAGGGGCTCCTCGCCGCCCTACGACGCTTCGCGCTCGATACCAACCCCAAAACCGTTCCCTTCGCATTCCACCAATCCGTTGTCTCGTCCAAGAAGACGGAGGAATCAATCCCCTCTATCGAGGACGACCTGCAGCGCGAGCTGGCCTTCGTGAACCAATCCCTCGAAGCCGCCCGGCAAGCTCGCGCCTTGTTGCGCAAGGAAGGTGTACCCTTCACCCGGCCAACAGATTACTTCGCCGAGACGGTGCGCAGCGACGAGACGATGCAGAAGGTCAAGGCCAAGCTGGTCGAGGAGGCGACGGCCAAGAAGGCGGCCGCCGAGGCGCGCAAGCAGCGCGACCTCAAGAAGTTCGGCAAGCAGGTCCAGGTGCAGAAGCTGCAGGAGCGCGCCAAGCAGAAGCGCGAGACCCTCGACAAGATCAACCTGCTCAAGCGGAGTATGTCTTTCCCCTCTCCCCCCCTAATGTGTGCTTTTGACACCCATACTAACCCCCCGTTTACAAACAGAACGACAAGAAGGCGGCTCCGCAGCTCTCGGCACGACCGAAGCAGACGACATCTTCGACGTGGCCGTTGACAAAGAGCTGTCCAACAGCAAGTCCTCCTCCAAGAAGCGCGGTGCGGCAGGCGACGGACCCAACCCCAAGCGGCAGAAGAAGGACACCAAGTACGGCTTCGGCGGCAAGAAGCGTTTCGCCAAGTCCGGCGACGCCGTGTCGGCGGGCGATTTGAGTGGGTTCAGCGCCAAGCGGATGAAGAGCGGCGGCTTCGCGGCCGGCGGTGCGGGTGGGAAAAAGAAGGGCGTGAAGGCGCCGAGGCCGGGGAAGAGTAGGCGGAAGGCTATGGCTGGGAAAAGATAGAGGGTAGGTAGAGGCTTGATGGGGGGTTGCAGATGGTGGTGTCGAAGTTTCGGATTCTGTTCTGCGGTTCGTCAGACGGCAGATGGGGTTGGCCTGTTGGGAAGGGCTATGGACGGGAGTCTCTGTACCGTATATTCTACCTCACGAGTGTCATATAACGTATTTCGCGAGACTCAATTCGACAAGGGAAATCGGTGAAAGGATAATCCCAACCAGGTACGGTGGTCTTATGATCAGAGGGAGAAAGAGAAAGAAAGAGAGCTCTGTCGCCAGCTATCTCGAGGAAGATATATAACTTCCAAGGGTGGGAAGAAACGCTGCAATTCGGAATCCAAGTCAACCAAGAGACGCGTAATGCATAACACCGACCCAAAACTGCCCATAGGCTTAGGATAATCATATAATGCTCCCGTTCATCGCATGCTTGCTTGCTCCATTGCAATGGTATAAGAACCCGAAGTCACTTCGTTACATCAACACTTGCACCATCACCCGTATAGGAATAGCAGAAAGTTTCGTTCGTAGCTACCGAGTATGATCCATGACTGCCCTGAATCTGCTAAGGAAAATAAAAAAACGACGTCTGTCTGTCTGAGCAAGAGAAAAGGAAAAAGCCTCGTGGTATCGTGCAACGCCGACCATGCTGTGCGGAGTGCCATGTGTTGTGAGTGTATGTGTGTGGATAGACAAAATGCTGTGCTGTGCTTCGCCATGCTGTCCGGAGAGCCGGGACAAGTTTTGCTGGTAGACACTATGGAATAACGCCATGCAACGAGAAAGCCTTGAGACTTGTGCATCCCGGGAGGAAGAAAAGAACCGGGGGGTATCAATAAATGACCATCATTCCCAACTGCCCAATGGAGCCCTAAGTGGTTTCCAATTCATTGCGTCGCAGCGATGCACCAGTGGCGGTGGAATGCCCATGCGCTCTTCTGGCACTCCTTGCTGCAGTACTTCGTCCTTCGGCAGCGGCGGCACTTAGCGAATTGTCGTGTAAACTCTTCCCACTTGCCGCACTGGTAGTAAGCGCATTGCCTGATGCCTCCCCGCGTGTCGTCCTTGCGGCACAGGTTCCTCATAACCACCCCGGCCCAGTATTGCATGTCGGTGCTGTGGTGCCTAACAGTGAACTTCTCCACGAGCGGGAAGATGTTCAGGTCGTTCGGGAGGGTGTACTCTTCTTCCGCCGCCTCGTCCTGTTCCTCCAGCTCGGCCTCGAGGGCGACTGGGTCGGCGCCGTCGAGAAGCTGGATTTCCTTTCCGATCTTCAGCTTGGGAACCAGATGGCTCCTCTGGAAATATTTCCTGAGGTTGCAGTACTTGGAAACATAGGCCAGAAGCTGTAGGGACATCAGGACATCCTCTTCCCTCGGCATAGAGGCGAGCATTTGTGGGTTTGGGTTGAATTGGCGATCAAGCAAGTAGCGTGGTACGCTGGCGTTAGGCAATGCCGGCTGCGGTGGGCCCACAAGAGTTGGCCGGTTCGGAGACATATGGATTCCTATGGCAGGGACGGGTGTGGGCACGCTGTTGGCGGTTACGCTGTTATCGCTGCCATCGACGGGGCCTTGGTGGGTGATGTTGAAAGTTCCAGCGTCCTGGGTCTCGCTCGCCGTGGGAGTTGTCAATTCGATGGGGCCGCCAGTCATGATGCTGTCTCCGTCTTCCACCGTGATGCCCTGGACCCCGACATCTGGCTGCATGTCTCCAGTTCCGGACATCTCGGTGTCCGGCGAATCCTCGGACGTGATGCTCTCAGCATTCATATCATCGGACTCGGCGGCGGTCGAGTGCTGATGGCGGATGGAGGGCCTTCGGCGAGGCCGAGCCGTGGTTGCGAGCATGGATGCAGGTCGAACGGTCGGGGATCGAAGCTGGGGGGGTGGTAGTGGCGTGGTGGGGGATGCTGGCTGGGAGGTGATGGCGTTCCGGGAGAATGGCATTATGCCGCCGAGGCGATCGCTGTCCCGAACCGGCCTGACGAAACCATCGGCAGCATCCATTGAGGGTACGATGGGAGCGGGCGGCGCAGTCTGAGGACCGGGAGACGTCGCCGTGTGATGATGGTGATGATGATGGTGAAGGGATCGGTAGGTGGCGGTCAAGGGAGTCCTCTCTGCCGAAGGCGTCACCTGGAAGTGAGGCGCAGTTGGTGTCGGGTCGGCATTGGAATGGACAACCGCCGTGGACGGCCCGGCGAGCGCCGCAGACACATCGATCGACGGGGGCGGAGCTTGCCTGCGGAAGGCTCGTCGGTCCACTTCCAGATTGCCAGTTGCTCGGGATGAGAAGCTCGAAGACTTGTGTCCACGACTGCTTCCGCCGATCCTGTGGCGGTGATGGTCCAATTTCTGCTTGGCCTCCTCCTCTTTTTCGCGGACCTTCTCAATGACCTTGATGTAATTGTCCAGAATGGTAGCGATGACTGGAACCATGTCGGCCTCGACGACGCGGGTCCGGACAGCTTCCGTGCCCCTAACGCCTATGTTGACCACGCACTGAAAAGCCAGGTTCCATTTCCACATGTCCATCATGTCCTTGCTCCGCCCCTCTTTCAGAATGCAGACCAGCCTTTCGATGCCGCCATCAACGGTGAGGATGTCGCGGATTCTAGCCGAGGATGTGGTGAGATAGGCCAGATGGTTCAGAGAATTGATCAATGGTAGGGTAGATGTGCAGTCGAGGGCCCGTCGGTCATACAAGGCCGTGGTGATGCCCACGGATGCCTTGTTGCCATGGGGTATGCTAAAGTTGGCTTCCCTCATCTTGGCTTGCCTCCACGAACCTCGAGGTAGGCGCAAGACAGGGAGAGGGGGCGGAGGGCAGAGCGACGGAAAGTGTCGTGCAGTTTCAATCGCTGGTATCGTATCTCGAGTCGGACGTGCCAGAGGATGTTTGCCCTGTCTGGTGTTGAAAAGGGGTTAGAAATAAGCTCATTTTCAAGAGTTATGCGTTCGTGGAGGTTGGAGTTGTGTGAGCGTACCCGACTCCTCTCAGGGCGAACTCCTCTCGCGGAAATGAATCGGCGCCGAGAACGGAAATTGATTTCGTGACGATGAACCAAAATTGCCCAGAGCGAGAGACGCCCGTATCACCAAAGAACGGGCAGAAAGAAACTGAAGCCCGCACCCGCTGGCGAAGTGACGGGATCCTTTCCACGCGGCTGAGGGTAGGTTCGGCGTTGATTGACAACAGCAATCTAGTCACTGCTTGCCAAATGCCTCAGGCGCGGCTAGACCTCGAGAAGCTGGGTGCTGGATAGCGATTGCAATACCGCATAGGCCCAAGATGATGCTAGCGAGTGGGCAAAAGGACGGATGGTCAAGCTGATTGTTGCAGAAAGGTGTTGGGGATGGAGAGAATGGGCGACGGTGTTCGGCGTGCCTGCTGGTGTGGAGAGGCTGGGTGAATGGGGATAAGATCATACTGCTGACCAAACGGCGCAGCCGCTTGGTTTTTTGCATCCGGTCAGGCCCTGTTCAGTGCCTGCACCTGCAACGCCGAGTGGGCCCAAAATCAAGTCCCTGATTGCTGCCTGAGGCCAGAGACGGAGTTCATATAACTTACACCTGCAAACTCATTCCATGGTGCGGCTAATGCTAGGAGCTTGACATCTCGGTTTTGCCTACTTTAGCAATTACAGTTCCCCAACCTTTTGAGAGGGGTTTTAAAGCTCACACACTTCGATTGATCATGAATTGCCCCTGAGTGGGAAGCGGAGACACGAGTTTGAGGTTGGGTTCCCACCACTCAGGGTTAGGAAACGGTGGAAGCGGCAAATTCAAGCAGCTGCGGGGTGAACTTATTAACGGTACTAACGCAATTAACCTTCCGGGCGAACCAAACAATGAGCTAGTACACTACAAAGGGGCGAACAAGACAAAGATTTGCCTCCCTCAATTCTCGAGAAACTCGAAGAATCTGTACACGGCTCTCGAAGCTATCCCTCGCTCAAGCGGATCATCCCCGTGCGTTGAAGATACCCTTCCCCTCTGCGGCCACGGTTTCAAGCCCGGTGTTCGTTCTCCTCATCGACAGGATCGCCCACATCCATTCTTGTAACCTGGAAGTCGCCTACAGATCCCGCTTGCGGTGCCGTTACTGGATGGTGGCCGTGGAATCTCGAAATACGATGACTTGACTTCAACTGTTTTGTAAATGTTCTAGAGCGTTGGCTCGTCATCCTTGTTGTTCAGCGATGTTTGTGTGTGTCCAGGCACAACGTATTGTCCCTGACTAATTCAAGGGTTCGCCGAGATTCTTGGCCTCCTGACCCTTTACAATGCCTAGGTACCTCCTAGTACCTTATTACCTTACTACTGCTAGTAGTAGTAGTCTATTCATCCATGGATGGATACCTTCCTTGCCCGTGAAGGGAACTAGGTACCTACTTGTGCAATCTTGTTGAATGACCGAAGCAAATTATCTGATTCATTACTAGTACTGTGTAGTCGAGGGCAATCTTGATCAGCAACCTTGATGGCTCTTGATTTAGTGTAGCGTCGAGCTGAACACCGGCCGTGTGATTCTCGGCCCACTCACCCATCTGCCATCACGCACGCCGGTGGCGCTCTCCGACGAGAACCTTGCTGTTCGAAGCGACCCTCACCTCAACTCGACAGGGTTCAACAAATCGTCCTGCTTTACACCACTGACCACAACCACCTTCGGGCCACCCGCCTTCTGAACGGACAAGCCGTCCCGGATCCCCATTCTCTCGAAGTCTGCTCGTTTGCGGCCAGCATACCACCCCGCTATCAACCAATCGAGGACGGACCTCGACAAATCTATGTACTGTGTACTTCAGTTCGCAGGGCTCGCTCTGCGCGTCTAACCTTTAACCTTCCGTGTGCTGCGCGCATGCAGCGCGTCGCGAGCCAATCAAGTTGGGCGGTTGTGCACGACAGATAGGACCGACCGCACGACAGCCGCACCACAGTCTTGGGTCCATTTTGACCGCCATAGCTGGACGACTTGCTTGCTTCTCCGGTTTCTGGCGGTTCGTGAAACACGCGCGCGTGTGCGAGCTTTCGTGTTACTGTGTAGGCCAGTAAGCGCTTATGCTCCCCCCGAGGGCGCTGGCGTTGGTGGTTGTAACTTGTAAGCATTGGCCGAGATCATCCAACCTCTAGGGCGTACCATTTGAGAATTGAAGGGCAGAGGGCGACGGTGATATGCTGGAAACAGTCAAAGTATCAGCTACTAACCGGACGGTAAGGAGCGACTCCCACCTTGCCTCACAACTTAATTGAGATGTGTTCGGCCTACAGGTGGATGTTCCCTTGTCGCCGTCGCTGAGCCGTCCTCCTCTCTGGCGCTCCTGGTTATCGACCTGGGTCTCTGGAGATCACCGTCCGAGCCCATCAGTAATCAGCAACGACATTGAGCCCGAAACCACATCACATGAACAGGACGCCAGCCGTGTGTGTAGTAGTGTCACCAACCTGCCGTGTTACTGTGAGCAGCACTAACTAAGACAGCACACACTCAGAGCCCCATTAGATAATAATAACCATCACACATGGGTATCTGTAAATTTGACGCTCTACGTAGTAACACAAACGCTTGTTCCCGTTAGACAACAAAACTCCCGCCATCATCGTGCCCAACGCATTACAAGTTGACTCAATCTCCGCTCACCTGCGCATGCCTGAAGTACTTCATACCCACCCAGGCAACCACAACCCATACCCAGGCCATGACGCCCGTGAGGATCATCAGCGCAGGGTAGTACCCGACGATGGGCAGCGTGGGGTCATCCTCCAGCTCGGGCGGCGCGTACGGCGTCGTCCCGACGTCCCACGCCCAGCTCCAGACGCCAAGACACGAGCCCATGCCGACGACAAACACAAACCACGTCACCACGAGGATGATCCACCCCCACCACTCCGTCTCAGCGTAGTCCCAGTCTGCGTCGGGCGGCGACAGCGGGGCTGCTAGTGAGCTCAAGGCCAGCGGGGATTTAGCGCGCTGGTTGACACTTCGGCGTCGCTGGATGGACGGGAGGCCACCGTTTCCCGTTCCTGGAGGGCGAGCGTGGGGTGGGCCAAGGTAATAGGACTCAGAGCCTGAGGATACAGAGGCGCGCTCGGGGCGGACTAGGCTTGCGGTCGAGGAGAGGGATAGGGTGGAGGGGGTTTGGTTGGAGACGGTGATGGGCCCGTTGCGTCGGGCCATGTGCAGCGCATCTTCATCGTCGGTGGTGCTGTAGTTTATGCTTGGGCTCGATTCAGGGACACACTTGCGCGGTGCCGGAGCAGCTGTGGGCGTGACGGGGTCTGGGGTGGACGTGTCGGACCGGATCGCGTACCCGTCCATGCTGGGACGCGGTGTTAGATCTGAAATTCCCAGGCCCAGTGGCAACGGATCGCCGCCGCTGTTTTTCCTCATCGGAATTTCCCTAGGGGATCCATCAATCTGCACCGGACTTGATGTAAGCGCCGCTGCGCCGGAGACCGCTGACTCGGCGGGTCTCCCGTTTGCGCCGTTAACTTCGAGTTGTGGATCGATGGTAGAACTCCGGCTGTCGCGCCGCTCACGCTGAGCTCCGCGACCGAGCAGGGCAACCTTTCGCAACGAACCCCTACGTCGTCGTGTTTTTTGCTGTTGCGGCGACAGCAAGCTCTGAAGTTGGTTGATGTGAGGCAGTGCCGGAGGCGCAGCGCCGGCTGCCGCGACTTGGCGCTGAGGCTCTTCGGCAGGGATCGTGACGAAGGAAGGCGTCGGCAGCGAAGGTGCCTGCCCGCCGGGCTCGCTCTCGATTGTGTTTCGACGGGATCGGGGACGGTGCTCTCCTACGGAGCGCATGAAGGGAAATTTGGACAACAACCCACCTGCCCCAGATGAACTCCGCTTCCGAGCTGGTGCTGGAGGACGGTTTGGGGCAGGTGCCAGCCCATTGGGGCCAGGGCCCATCAGTGGCGTGGGTTGTTCCATACCGCGGAAGCAGAAGTGGTTGCGTCCCGTCTTTTCCGAGAGGTAGAAGGTGCGGACGGGATGTGCCTACACAGCTTCCCGTCTGGCGGGTTGCTAGCGAGCTCTCGAAAACGGTCGACCAGCACCCTGGACACGTAGTGGGGCCCAAGTCGGCAGCTTAGATCCGTACCATTCCCGATGCGCGAGCCTGACTTCTTTCCTGCAGTCCTCTTCGAGCTTTTGAAGTGTTTCTAATGAGTGAGCAATGCTTTGTGAAGATGCGAAATGGGTGATGCACGCCGCGGTGCTGTGCCTTGCAGTTTGCAGGATGCCCGGCACTTGCACCGACAAAAGTGGACCTGCATCCTCCGGCAGGCAAACGGGCCCAGTTCGGCAGACCCACCCACCCCCACAGGCCCAGGCCGATGAGGTCCAGGATGCTGGCCAACGCGATGAAGAACGAGACAGCACCAAACCGACATTGTGCTACTTCCGCTTGCCTGTCGAGCCTGTCTGTGCTGGTCTGATCAAGATGGATCACGAAGTGCGCTGTTTCGGATTGGATCCTGCGCGAACACCTGTGACACTGGGAATTGAACCTTTCCAACCGTGAAATTGCCTGTGATAGTCACTCCACGCTAGACGGAAAACGGAAGCCCCCTGGGCCCCCCTTGTGCATTCTCGTCCCGCTATCTTCGAGATCCGGCTCCGCTTCCAAGTCGACAACATCGGCCCGCGCAGGGGTGGACAACAAACCATCTTCGGCGCTGATTCTCAGCCGGGCCCATGGCACCTAGCCTGCCATACATTGCACCTCCCGGGACCCCGCCAACTCCGGCCTCCGTCGCCCGAGACACCGGCCGCGGTGAGCCCTCGTTCCAGTTTACTTGCGACGACTACGACGGCGATCGGGATCGAGACGAACCAGCCATTGATTTGGCGGATACCCAGCCGCCAGCGGCCTCCCCTCGAAGTAGTCCCGCCGCCTTCCTCCATCCTCACCACGCATCGTCGTCGCTGCGTCCACCAACTCCGGAGTCTGCCTTTGCCATGGCAACCGACGATGGGCTCGCAAATGGGGAGCCCAGTGCGGCGGCCCCGAAAAACCCGTTCAACTTCCAGACCCAATTCATATCAACATCCCCGGTGAAGTCTGTACGTTAAGTGACTTGTCCTTGACATGCGCGCCCATTGTTGGGTCCGGTGTAACAGAGCAGTAGCTGACTGCCTCGCCAATACAGAATATCGGTCAGCGACGAGGTCACCGTTACAAACACAGTTCAATAAGCGCACAACACCAGATCTTCCAGGAGCCGCCGCCGCGACCGCCGCCCGTTCTCCCCGCCTCCCTCCCAATACCTACCTTGAAAGAAGCCTGGGCGAGCATGCAGCGCGACCAGCGCGCCCGTCTCTGGTGGTGCTGCTGCCATGCCGCGGTAGCCATGTACGTCTTCTTCAGCGCCGAGGGCTCGCTCGCCATGACAGCGCTCTCCCACCTCGTCTTCTTCGATGTCGGGTCGGCGGCCGTGTGCGTAGCCGTCGACGTGCTGGGTAACTTCGAAGTCTGGCGGCGCTCCAGCATCCGCCACCCCTTTGGCCTGCAGCGCGCCGAGGTCCTCGCCGGGTTCGCCATGTCCGTCTTCCTCGTGTTTGGCGGCTTCGACCTCATTTCTCACAACCTCAAGAACTTCCTCGAGTCCGTTGGCGACCACACCCCGCACCATCCCCCAACAGCTAGCGAGCCCGTCGACGCCCACGGCCACGGTGGTCACGCCCACAGCGCGCGCTATATCTCCCCCGGGACGGTGGACTTTGCGAGTCTTGCCGCCGTAGTGAGCACTCTAGTCAGCGCGTACGGCCTGCGCAACCACAGCCGTATCCGCCGGGTTGTGCGGGTGCCCTTTCCCTACCTCGCCAAACTCCTGCCCGGGGCAACAATCCTCGCCAACCCCTTCCACTTCCTGACCCTCTGCTTCTCCTTCCTGATGCTGCTCCTCCCGCTAGTCAGCATACCGCACTTCGTCTGGCTCGACGCCCTGCTCTGCGCCGCCATCGCGGCAAGCATGTTCGTGCTGGGCACCAGGCTGGCCGTCGCGCAGGGGCTGATGCTGCTCATGAGCTACAGCGGCTTACCCCCCGCTAAGGCCAACCACAACCCCAACAGGACGGTGTCCGAGAAGAAGACGGACACCGTCGTCACCACCCACAACAGCAGCGCCACGAGTGTGTCAGCCGTCGTGCGGGAGATCGAGTCGGAACCACAGGTCGCGCGCGTCGAGGAGGCGCAGTTCTGGCAGGTGCACTACGGGCTGGCGATGGCCAACCTGAAGGTCCGTGTTGCCCGCGGCTATGGTGATGATAATGCTCTGAGCCAGCTGCGGAGTCGATTGGCCAGGGTGGTGCAGAATCGGCTGGGCGAAGGCTATGGGAGGGGAGGGAACTTGAGGTGGGAGGTTACCGTGCAGACTTGCACGGATGGGTAGCCGGTAGATTAGTAGGCCGAGCTACCTACCCAATCGAAGGAAATAAATTAATAGTACAATATCCGGGAGTCCGGTACCTGCCTATCTCAGGAGTGGTGCATGTGAGCAGCTAGGTAAGTACCTTGTTGGCCATGGGCTTAATCAGCACTATAGACTTGATTTATCCCTTGATACTATGGTACTTGGATGAATCATACGTCTGATATCGTTATGTGCAGGTACAGTACCCTATGAACAGCTACCCATCCCCGTCAAAAATCCGTTTTCCTCCGAGTGAGCAAGACAGCTACAGACCTCTCGCAAACGGAGAAGCTCTCTACCCATCAGAGCAGACTTGAACATACATACATAGCCGAGGCTACCCACACGCTTCTATTGTCCTGCCATAGCGCCGTCCTAAACGCCGAACAACCTAAACTTGCAATATCTGATCCCAGTAACGCCAAACAAGATCAAGCGCGACGGAATGGCGCTCACTGTAAAGCCAGCTCGGGGAACAACTGCGCGATCTTGTTCGGATTCCCGAACTCAGTCCGCACCGGCTCCGGCGTGATCGGGCTGTTGTCAAAGTACTGTGCCAGCCCGCCCCCGGCCGCTCCGCCGTGCGCCGCATCGATCGCGCTCAGCGACGCCCGCTTCTTCTTGATGTTGCCTTGCACCGGCGGCGTCTGTGGCGCGGAGCGGATGACAGGCGGCGCGGTGAGTGCCCGGATGTCTGTGAGCGATGCCTGCTGGGCTAGTTGACCTGGGGCGATATTCTCGGCACGGGCAAGAGGGGAGCGGGAGCGTGAGGCGCTGGTGGGAACGATTGGGATCGTCGGGCCACGCGGGCGTTGTCTGTGTGGATCTGGGTGGTCGGCGAAGTGCGAAAGAGACGGGATGGGCGGGACGGATGGAGGGAGGCCGAAGGGCGTGCCCGACCGGGGGGTACCCTTCTCATTGGCGGACAGGCCCTTGGTGCGTACAAAGGCGGTCGAGCGGCGATGTTGCGGGTTGCGGTCGTAGTACCGGTCCATGATGGGGTGGACCATGACGGTTTGGTTGTGTATTGTGAGGATGGAGTTGGTCGGGACGTTGACCCAATTTTCTAGATTTCGGTTAGTAGGGGTTACGCATAGGTTTAGCACACGGCCGGCTTGTACTGTACCTCTTTCGAACGTCAGGGGCTCACTGGCCACCAGGATCACGTCTGCCCCCTTGTCGCTTCGCTCCATGTGGTAGTCTTGGTTATCAGGCGCCGGCGCCCTCGTTTCCCACAGGGTACCGGAGGAGTAGTAGAGGCTGGCAGCCTCGTCCGAGGAGCTGCCAACGTATCTGGTGCAGATGATGCTGTGGCCGTCCGTCACGGCGAAGTTCAGGAGACTCCGGGTATCAACATTTTCTGCGTGAACGACGCTCTCGGGAATGTTGTCGATCAGCTCATTGATTTGCGCAATCGTCTTGAGCATCGCCTTCCTGAGCACCGTTGGGCCAAATCCCTTTTCTGGCTGGGAGCTCGGGTCGTGTCCCATCCGCTCGAGTGTGTCCAGAAAGAGCGCGAACGCCCACTCGCTATCGGTCCCGCCTACCACCCCCAAATACCACTTGTCGGCTAGCCGTTCACCAAGCCTCCTCTTGATCTGCTTCCACCCACCCAGACCGCCATTGTGCATCCACATCAGACTGCCGTGGCAGAAAGGGTGGCAGTTATCCTCGCTGAGTGAGCCTTCGGTGGTGGCGCGGACATGGGCGAAGATCAGTCGAGACGCCGTCTTGGAGGCCAGTCGTTGTAAATTCACACAATTCCAAGCCGGCGTGGTCGAAGTGAAGAGGCACGGCGCGGCTCCGAGTTTCGCGTCGGTGTAAAAGCCAATTCCAAAGCCATCGGCATTGTTCTGCCCTCGACGGGTGTCCTACAACGTGGAAATAATCATATGAGCTATCAAATCACCAACAATGCTGGGTTCGAGCTGGCTCACGAGTCGCAGTCGTGAGTCGAACGACTGCTTGAGGATGGAATGCGCCGGGTCGAGGACAAGCTTCGAGAGTAAGATTTCGTCGCTGCCTTTGTAGACCTAAATAAGCAGCGCATGTCAGCGACCGCTATTTCGTGTTCGACAAGGGCGCAATGTTCTTACCAGAAACCGACACATCGTGGCAGACGGTGCCCGAGTAGAAGTGGGCTGAAGTCTTGACGGTGCAAGTCGGGTGTTTAAGCAGGTAGGCTCCGAATCGGCATAAAAGCAAACAAAGGAAATATTCCAGATTAGTCCCGGCCTTGATCCCGACTCGTGTGATCGTGTGACAAGCAGCGCGTGAGGATATAACTTCACCAAAGCGGTTGGGTCTGGTGTTGTCCAGTTATGGAAGGGAGTCGGTGACCGACAGGGGACACGGCCCAAAGCAACTTACAGCCGACAGGGCTGACGAGATCGGCCAGCGAAATGGTGGCATCTCTACGATTAATGTGCTACATCCAAGCTGAACTTTCCGCAAGCAAAATAAGGCAAACGCATATGACTTACGGAGTACCTAAGGTACCTCATTATAGTGGCGGCACTCGTCACTCCATGTATTTGATGAATGACTGTGGACATGAGATGTCTGGGACTGTGTTAACTTCCATACCTTAGGTAAGGTACCTTACCTAGGTTGCTTCTGAGATAAGGTAGGCGCCCTGTGGCTCCGTCACAGTACGGATAAGGTATTGTATATACCTTACCTTACACAGCGTACGTTACCTCAACTGTTACGTATATACCGTCACGGAGTTATATTTTACCAATATTTCCGTACGGTAATTACCTACCTAATGCCACAGACCACATACGGCGTACGAAGGCGGGACTCATGAGTATCGGAGGGTAGGGAGTTCAGGTGGGGCTCGTCCCCAAATTCCAACCCACGGCATCGTCATTCGCAGTGGCATCTCCTGATTGTTTTAAACAACGCCAACCGCCGACATCCATGCTGCCGTAGACTTCCGCTGCCCTCACCACGATGAGCGCGCAGCTCCGTGCAGCCGGGGCGCTTGCCCCCGTCGCAGCCCGTCGCGCCGCGGTTCGCGCCGTCCGACACTTCCACCAGCTCCCGACCGGCGGTATCCAGCAACTCGCTGGCCAAAGCTTCAGGAGATCGGTGCAGTTTCCAGCAAATGCCTACCACAATGCCGTTATCGTCCGAAATGCTTCCTTTACCCGCCTCTTGCCGAAGCTGGCTGTCAAGCTCGTCAGGATTCCCGCTCTCTTTGGCGGCCTGATGATCGGTACGATCGGGTGGATACAGTACCAAGCAATCCGTAAGAGCGACACATGGTAGATGTGACAGAGGGACAGTTTTGCTAACTGGGCACAGAGGTCAGTAACTCCGCGCAGGAGATGTACGGGAATATGAGAGATACTGTCGTATCTACCGCCTCGGGTCTCTGGGGAGGCGCCAAAGATTTCGCCGAACAGACGAAACGTGGCTGGGATAGCACAAAGGAGCAGTTCGAGATGCCTGAATGGCTAGACAGAATCATGCGGGGGGAGGGTGAAGCCGGTTCTGGCAACCGCGGCTCGGGCGGACAAGGCGGGCCGGAACCGCCTAAGCAGAGCAGGGCCGGTGCCGCCGCCGTCGCAGGAGCCTCGGCAGCCGCTTACGGCTATGACCAATCCGACGAACACGACGAACGGACACCCGAGGAGGTCTTGAAGGACGACCAGATGATGTATCTCACCAAGAGAATGATCGAGATTCGGAATCTCCTTCAGAAGATTGGCCAGTCGACGACCGTCACACTGCCGTCCATCGTTGTTATCGGGTCCCAGTCGTCAGGGAAGAGCTCCGTGTTGGAAGCTATTGTTGGTCATGAATTTCTACCTAAGGGCAGTAACATGATCACCCGGCGGCCAATCGAGCTCACCCTCGTGAACGACCCCGAAGCGCGGGTCGATTACGGTGAATTCCCCGACCTCGGTCTCTCTAGGGTCACCGATTTCTCCCTAATTCAAAAGACCTTGACCGAGCTCAACCAGTCCGTTCCCGTGTCGCAGTGTGTCACAGACGACCCGATCCGGCTCACGATCCACTCCCCAAGGATACCGGACTTATCGCTCATCGATCTTCCAGGCTACATTCAAGTAGCCGGTGAGAACCAGCCTCGGGAACTGAAGCGCAAGATCTCGGAATTGTGTGATAAGTACATCCGAGGGCCCAACATTATTCTAGCCATCTCAGCCGCCGACACGGACTTGGCAAACTCAACGGCTCTGCAAGCAAGCCGCAGAGTGGATCCTAGAGGAGAAAGAACGATTGGCGTCATCACCAAGATGGACCTCGTTGAACCGGAGAAAGGGGCTGCCATCCTGAATGATAGGCAGTACCCTCTCCGTCTAGGCTATGTTGGCGTCATCTCCAAGCTACCTCCGCAAACAGGTCTCTTCAGGAGAGAGACTGGTAATCTCCTAGCCGGCATCAGCCGGAATGAGAAGTCATTCTTCAACACATATCCCTCACAGTACGGGCCAGAGTCTGGGGTCAATACGGGTACCATGACGCTCCGCAAGAAGTTGCTGCAGGTTTTGGAGCAACAGATGTCTTCGAAGTTGCAGGAGACGACAGACGCCATCCAACGAGAGCTTGAGGAGACAACCTATCAGTTCAAGGTTCAGTACAACGAGCAGCCCATGAGTGCGGAGGCGTACTTGGCCGCAAGCTTGGACGACTTCAAGCATCAGTTTCACGAGTTCACTGCGAAGTTTGGCCGGGCTCAGTTGAACAATCTACTCAAGGATGCACTCGACCAGAAGGTGCTTGACCAACTCGCCGCTAGGTATTGGAATAAGCCAATCGAAGACTTGTCTGTTGCGCCCCCTGAGCGGGACAGCATCGCCGATCTACCGAACGCTGACCCGAATTCTCCCTACTGGCATCGGCAACTTGACACGGCATCCTCGGGCCTCACCAGGCTCGGAGTGGGCCGTCTCGCAGCAACCGTCGCTGCCTCAGCCGTCCAGTCTAATGTCGACAAACTGCTCGACAAATCGGCGTTCGCAAAGCACCCCTCAGCCCGGAAGGTAATCAGCGATGCCGCGTCTACAGTGCTCGCAGATCGATCGTACGCCACAAGTGATGGCATCGAGATCTCGCTGAAGCCGTATAAGTATGACCCCGACATCCAACCCAACGAGTGGGCAAAGGGCAGGGAACACGTGGTGGGTGTCCTCCAGGGCGAGCTCAACCAGTGCCAAGCCGCAATGAAGAGCCTCGAGAACTCCGTCGGCGGGAAAAGAAAGCTCAAGGAGGTCATGTCCTTTGTCGACAAGGCGCGCAAGGGCGAGGTCATCGTCGAAGGTGACCACCCCAGCGGAGCAGGCGGCTTTAGCGCCGCCCTCCTCGCCCGCGGTATGTTCACTTCTTTGCTTTCACACCCCATCCCCCAACCCGAGAGTCCATCTAACCTCTCCAACACAGGCCGGGAAGCAGTCTTCCTCCGTGACCGCGCCGACATAATCAACATGCGTATCATGGCCGCTAAGTCGCGCAAATGCAAGTCCCTCGAAAACAAGTACTACTGCCCAGAAGTCTTCCTTGACGCCGTCGCCACGAAACTGGCCCAGACGGCCGTCCTCTTCCTCAACGTCGAGATGCTGAACGACTTCTATGTCCGCTTCCCTCGCGAGGTCGAAGCCAAGCTCAACGAGCACATGTCCGCCGGCGGACTGGATCGGTTCGCCCGCGAGGACCCCAAGGTCAGGAGGCATCTGGATCTGATCCACCGCAAGGAGCTGCTCGAGCTGGTCCTGACCAAGATCGAGGATCTCCATCGGTTCGGGGCGGGCACTGGCGGCAGGGCGGGCGGGGCTGGAAAGGAATTGGGGAAGAGGACGGGGAGGAGGTCGTTCTTGTTTTGAATTGACGGGCGAGCGGGCGAGCGAATGAAGGGGAGCGGAAGGGAGAGAGACGTTTGCATAGCTATGTCGGGAAAAGAGGGAATCACGGCGTTTGGTGAGATGAGGATGAGGTACTCATCTCCGGTGGAAGCGGTTCGGTCTAGCCTTTTCCTTTGTAGTTTCTACGACGACGTGGGTTCTGTAGGCATGTTCGAATGTAGGGCCTGGTGTGCTATGATATGCACTAGGTTGTTTGGAATACCCCTCTTGAAACCTAGTACGTACATACAATATAGGATGCTGTGGGCATCGCGGATCTGAAGGAAAAAGCTGTCGCCTCCGGATTCAATGGCAACGTTCACCTCACACCATTCTGATTCAAGAAGTGCTCATATGTTTCATCACAGCTGCCGAATCATAAATTCTACAGATTTTCCTACCCTGATCCACCTCATACAGAAAAGGCAACCTATATACGTGCTCCAAAACTCTGGGGATAGATCAACTCTAGAGTCTTACACGCCAGTCCCGCCAAGCGCACTCGTCAGCTCCGCATTGTTAGTAGGTATAGAGGACGTTCAACATAAGCAAAAGAGACGCCTCGTATTTGATTGTCTTGTCCCTCACTTCCTTCCCGTTACCGCCATTTTTAACTACCCAAACGTAGATAGACAGACAAACAGACAGACAGTCAGGCCTAAACACGACAGACGCTTGGAAGCACAACCAGTGAGGGAGCAAAGGGTGCTGATACCCCCCCAGTCCGCAACGCCTCTTCCCGTAAGACTCGCACCCTCTGTGCGCTCAGCCTCCCTTCCACCGTGAGCTAAACTCGTCTCCTGGGACCCTTCCAAGCACCAGCATAGGTGTATGCAGAAGGCGTTATTTCGCCTTCGTACCGCTCTTGACCTTCCTGGCCGAGGGGCGCTGGAGGTGGTGCTGGGGAATCCAGCTCTCGTCATAGCCCTTACTGTCGCCGCCGCTCGTGGCGCCGGCCGACTCGGAGCCGGAGAGCGGCTCGGCCTCGGCCACAGGCTTGCGTCCTGCCTTCTTGCCCTGGACAGCCTTGGGCTTCGCTTGGGGGAAGAGCGCCTCGATCCAGGTCTTGTAGACGAAGTAGAGTGTCGCGCCGAACACGCCGGTCAGGAAAAGGTAGAGGAAGATGCTGCGCATATGCAGGGTTAGCGATTGTTATGAGGGGTCATGGGTGGCTGGGAAAGGCAGGAGAAGTAAAGAGGGGAGCGGCTTACATCTGAGGGTCGAAAATGTTGGTCGGGGCCTCGACGATGCTCGCGGGACCGCTGTGGGCCGTGACCTGGAAGATCTGGTTGGTGGCAGAGTTGGTGATAATGGCGACAAGCTCGACGATAACATCCTGGGGCATCATGTCGAGGACGAACTGGAAGGGAAGCTGGTGCTTCTCGCCGGCAGGGATCGAGACGTCGTACCGGACAGCCGTCAGGTTGCGGAGGATGGCGGCGTGTGTGGGCGCGTCCTCCGGCAAAGGCTTCGTGGTCCGGAGCTGGCCGCCAACGAAGGCGACGTCAATTGGCGTGTCCTCGTTGTTGGTGATCTCGATCAGCGCCTTGGTGATGCGGCCATTGACGATCTTCACGCCGAAGATGTCGGCATCGGGAAAGGTCGTCTCAATGTCGGCCTTGAGCTCTGGCTGCTCGACCGGCACAGATGTGTTAGGCTCTGCGTTGACCTGGGCGAAGCATTCTGTGAGCAATTGCGCTGCTAATTCTGCGGACAAGCAAAAAGGGGTCGGCAGCGATGACGTTTCTTACATCGTCTTGCGCGAACGCAGAGGCGACGCGCAGCGCGAGCAGGGCGAGTGAGGACCACCTGAAGTTGACCATTGTTCCAAATTCCGAAGAGAAAGAAGGGTGCTGATGAGAGAAGAGGAGGAGGAGAGGTTGGGAGTTCTGGGGAGAGGTCCAAATCCCAACTGGAGCTCGACGAATCGATGTCGTAAAATCGTCGTGTGTGCAATGTGTCAATTGGAGCACTAGCGCGGCGGCTCGTGGAGCCTCAATTGAGGACCCTTGCCAAACAAGGAGCTTTGACCCCAGCTATGCACATATCGAGATTCCGTATCCGTACATACATACAACGTACCACAACCTTCCCCAGCTGCACCACATGCTATTGTTCCAACCCGCAAACATCCAAACACAACGAGCATGCGGACGCCTCGACCCAGCATTGAAATCGAACAACCCCGAAGCTTTCTCCGCATTTACCCACCCGATTGCTAGCAGACGACATAAATGCAACGAACATGGACTTGGACCCAACAACAAGAAGCTTGCGTGCCTCCGTAGCCAAGTGGTCCGGGTTCGTGCGCCACGCACTGCTCAAACGCCTCGACCCGGAGAGGTTCGCTGCATTTGCGCCCATTCATTTCTCAGAGCACCCGCTCCCCCCGCTCCTCGTCGCCGACATCGTCATCCGCCCGACCCAGCCCGGCAAATACAGCCTTGACCCGCGCGCGTTCCGGTACTTGGAGGTCTTGCTCAAGCAGGGTCGGGTTGACACCGCTTCTGTGTTACGAGCGCTGTGCAAGTACTCGTCCATACATGCATGGGTGCGCTCGCCACAGGATGCTGCCGCGTTGCCGGGGGACGGCATCAAGAAGGAGGAAGGGGCAGAGGAGAAGAAAAGGCCCGGGATCGCGAGGTATCAGAACTCGTACCACATCGAAGAGGCTCTCCTGTGGCGACTCGCGCAGGCCGTGCACCGAGGTACTGGGATCAAGACGTCCAAGAATGTGATCGAGGTGTCCAAGGTGCTGGTCAAATGGATGGCGCTGTTTGCCGAGGCCGCTGCGGCCTTCTCCAGGGAGGCGTTTGGCTCTCTGCAGAGCTTGCGGGTAAGGGACGAGGCGGAACGCGCGAAGAACGCTCTTGCTCTTTTCGCCTTTGCCTTCAGCGAGACCCCGGTTGTTTTGTCCGTCCTGAGCCGGCCGGTGTGTAAAGGTAGGGAGCATGTTGCACTTCGAGCTCCAAGGGGCGGAGCTGACAGTTCCATAGGCATCTGCAAGTCGCTCTCGAACAGTTTGCGGGCATTCATGCCGTGCATAATGCACGTGATGCCCGACGTAGCTGGACGGTTAGAGCTGTTCCGGACCGAAACGCTCTGCAGGTTCCTGCCATCGGACAGAAAAGAGGCTGAACTGAACAGCTACGTGGACAATCTCATAGGCCTCGACAGCTTCCAGGTACCCGAGATACCGGTTGTCAATTCTCGAGCCGGCCTCTATATCTATCTCAGTGCTTCGGTAAGCGTTGGTGAAATGGAGAGCTGGGTGATCTTTGCTGACTGGCTGACACAGCTCGTGGGACGACCCATGCTTGACGACGGCGCCCTATTCACCTATCTACACAACAGATACCAGGTTCGAACTCGGCGATACTAATAATCGTGATGTTGCTACTAACACACGCCCTAGGGAGACATGCAATCAGCGGCGGTGCAGCTTATCCTGGCGTCATTTGACGTTCTCGCAAACGCCGTTTTCCGCAACGAGGGCCTCAAGACCGGCCACTTGCTTAAATCCTACGTGGTCAACAAGGTGCCCTTGATCCTCGTCTCGCTGGCCAATGCATCAACCATTTACCCTTTCAACCCGGAGATGTGCATCACGGAAGCCTTGGGTCAGGTGGATACCAACGTGTTCCCGACTCTATCCGGCATGTTCGAGATGTCGAACACCAACTCTTCATTTCACGATTCTGTGCGCCAGGACTTCTGCTTCTCATGCCAGCTCCACGGATTGCTCTCACAGTCAGCGATAGAAAATCTGCTGGGCGACATAACTTACCAATCCTTACCGGACGAGGGCCGTTATGTAAAGGACATCCTGGTCCAGTCATGCCTCCAAGATGTGGACAAAACGCAGAAGCTGATCGGGGAACTGGAGAACATGAACGGAAACGTGGGCGCTGCGGCGCAGGCCGTCATCGAGGTACGCATTTGCTTTCCCTAGCGGCTCCAAGTTTGTTACTGACGCTGCAACAGGTGATTGGCAGCCTCTGTCAAAATAAGGAAACGATAACTCTCAGCAAGTTGTGCAGTCAACTTGCTACCAAGCCCTTGTCCTTGGACGTCCTCCTCCTTTTTGATAAGCCGCAGAAGATCCTACATCCGCTGTGTGAACTTCTCGACAATTGGGCTGGATACGAAGAGGACCAAGGCGAGTACCAGCTGGTGTACGAAGAATTTGGATCTATCCTTCTTCTACTTCTGGCATTCGTCTACCGGTACAGCCTGTCTGCCCCGGATCTCGGCATCCGCTCGCCCGACTCGTTCGTGGGGAAGCTTTTGAGCGGCGACAATGTCTGCCGCCCTCTAGAGGAGCTCAGCGAGCAGCAGAAATCTCACCTGAACGGTTGGATCCACGGGCTGTTCGAGGCCGGCGTTATCGGAGACGAACTTATGGCGTCGTGTCCGCCCCAGGACTTTTACTTACTAATGCCCACGCTGTTCCACCAGATCGTCCTCGCACTGAGCGCAGGGCGTCTGACGGATGACATGCTCAAGGGCGGCCTCGAGTGTACGTTTCCCATATTGGAATCCCGCAGTGAGCACCGGCTAACTAGTAGATAGATTTGGTGGGTGTCCTGCTGTTGCCGTCCTTGGTTCCGGCGATCCTGTTCTTGTCGAACCAACTGTGGGTGAGCGGACCCCAAATTCAGCCTGCGATTATCAAGATCCTTCAGGCCATTATTCGACCAAGCTCGATCTCCAATGAGGCGTCAGCTGTGTTGTCATCAGTCCTCAACATCGTCGCCAAGCCGCTCGAACACGCGTTGCGCTCCTACCAGCGCCAAGATCCCACGTCCCAGGAGGTTGAGCCGCTCCTGCGCGCCATCAAGGAGAACCTCTTACTCTCCCGACGAACCGGTGGCGCCGATCACACTGAGCTCGAGTCCTGGACCAGTACACACCAGGCCAACTCCTCAACCGGCAGCTTCATCCCCCAAGGCGGCCTCTCCGCCGCCATCCGTCACACCGTCCAGAACCTGGTTCAGTGGGCCCAGCAGCCGCCCTTAACCGGCATTTCCGCCACATACACGCATCGCCAGACCCTCGCAGCCCTCAAGATGCTCGGCGCGAAACGTCTCCTCTCGCTCCTGGTCGAAGAACTCAAGGGCTTCACCGACACGACGCAAGCAGGCATCGCTTACGACGTCGTCACGGCGATGATCTGCGCGCCCGACGTGACCAATGATTCCTCACTAACTGCCGCTGCCGCCGCCGGCTCTCCCGAGGCCATCGCGCCGCAGCAGAGACGCATCTCCCTCCGTGAGGCGCTCAAAGCCGAGGCAGACGACTGGCGCAAACTCCAGAAGTGCGATCCGCTCATGGCGGAGACGGTCGTGCGGCTCTATCGGACAGTTGAGGGGCAAATGGCGCTGCCGCCGCCGCCGGCTTCCGCAGCCATGCTAGGGGGACAGCCGGAGCTGGGTGGCTTGGGGGTCGATGTGAGCGGGGATGTGGGTGCGTTGGGGGATGCGATTGCTGCCGCGGCGGCGGCCGCCGGGGAGCATGGACATCACGATGCTATGAGTCTGGATGCGACGGGTCTGGATGCCGCTGGCGTGTCGGATCTGGGGGCACTATCCGGGGCGACGGGGGATTTGTCGCAGGTTGGAGGGTCGACTGGAACAGCAGGCGGTGGCCTGGATTTGCCGGGGGGGGATTTCTTTGATGGGTTAACGGGTGCGAGCGAGTTCGGGGCCGAGTTCTCGAACTGGGATATGGACCTGGGTTAGGGATCCAGGCGACATGGCAAATAGGGGGTATCCGGGTGTCAAGTGGTTCCGGGAGCGTGATGTGGTGAGCCAGGAGGAATGCATACAAGCGGAGTTTTTCTGAAAGGGGAATTTGGGAAGGACATTTACATTGTGGCGTTTTCTGATCCAAGGGTTACCAGCTAAACCGGTGCACTTGATAAAGTATGCTCGCTATGATCTGCGAGATATAGTATCATCAGTCCAGTTGTTAGATCCAATGCTACGCGAGTTCAATCTCGATCTCTTGGTAGGTTGAATCAACCCTTTCAACCCTGCTCTTCAATGCTACGTAACCCACGTCGAGCCCACTTCGGAATAAACATTGTATGTGGGGGAAACGGGTGGCTGGATCATTGGTGTTCAGGCTGTGCATTCATCAGTCGGAGTTCTCTGCCCGCTTTGCTGCGCGGGGGAATGAGGCAGTGAACAACACAAAGGGGCCTCGAGTCACAGCAGGAAGTCCAACCCGCGTCGCGCAGACCTCCTCTCCTCAGCTCTGCAACTGTCGGCCTTTCCATGGGTTCCATTACATGCACACCGACAAACGTTCGGATCCAAAATTTGTCTCAACTTTCAACGCACCCCCATTATGATTTAAGGACGTGAACCTCTCTCTCAGCCTTGCCGGGCAAAAAGCATCCAATCGTCAACAAACACACCTACATAAATAGTAGCACCTCCCTCGGTTCGCATTCGCTCCCGTCAATTCATCAGGCCATCCCGCCAAGCAGCCCAATCGCTTAGGTATTAGCCGGACAGCTTGTCTAGCGCCAAGATGCAGCCATCCCCGCGCCGTGCGCCACCGATGTCCGTCTTGGGCTTAACGCGTCGATATTTCTCGCGTGCTGCGAAGCCGGCCTGCGGCTGATCGGCCCTCTCCAAGCTTAGGCGTTTTTCAGCGGGAAAAAGGAGGTGTTGATGCGGACGGTTCCGTCACTTTTTGGATCCCCCAAAGGATCGTTCCTGAATCTGTGGATGGTTCTTGATGTTGTCTACCAACATTGCGGATAGGTTTTCGATGTGAAAACAGGCTCCCTCTCTCCCTCCCTCTCTCTCTCTCTCTCTCTTCGCAATACATACCCCATTCTGTCTGTTCTGGATTACGACCGCCGGCTGGCTTTCTCGCCAAGGACGCACTATCAGGGGTTCCTAGCTGGATCCATCGCGGGCAGCGCGCTCCAATGACACGGCCGTTCCCCCCCATCCAATATTGGGCCTGGCGTTCAGCTGAAGGAATGGCGTGGCTCCGGGACAGAGCCTCATGCTGCTCAAAAGCGGGACGCAGCCGTTGGTTGCTGGGCATCCAGATGCCCGGTTCCTCTCTTTTGCAAAATTCCTCACAAGGTCCTCGTCTTCCTGTTGGGAGTCGCCTGAGTGCTCGACCGTTGTTGACCCTCCACAGCTCATAACGGGTTCACTTTGCTCCCTTTCTTCCCTCCCGGACCATGAGCAGGGCCCTTCGCTGCGCGGCCTTGAGCTGTGCTCTTGGCCTCGCTGAAGCCAAAGCGTTGAAATGGGGTGCGGATGCGGCAACATGGGTTCCCGCTCGAGAGACGGTGACGTTTGGCGTTATGTCCAGACTAGGCATGATCGAACCAACTCCGACACCCGCCCCTTACCCGCAGGGTGAGCCCAGGAAGGTGGAGGCTCGAGGCACGACAGATAATACCTGCGGGTATATGAGCGGGATATTGAGTGAGTTTTGGGGACCCTGCCTGGATACCTCTAGAGAGTACATGGTTGGAGAGGCATGCTGATGACATCGGTATATAGCGTCATCACTATATTGCGATCCAACCGCGTCTTGTGTATACAACGAGTCCAATATGCACATCGGATGCTGCGATGACGGCGAGACCAGGTGCCCGATTTGGACGACGTGCTACGACTCCACGGACAGCGCGAAGTATACCACAAGAAACGGCCTGACGCTGTGGTGGTATGTCGTCTTGATGCTTGGGTGTGATTTGATCAACGTACGCTCCCATACTAACCCGTCACAGCGGCCAGTCCGAATATCCTCACTGCTTCACTCATACCTACGAAGACCAAGCCCTCAAAGGCTACACCGTGCTCGGCTGTGCTGTAGCCGGCGGGACAGGAAAGGTCTGGTACAGCCCTACCTCGAGGCCCAGCAGCAGCGATTCAAGCAGCACCAGCAGCACATCTTCCATCTCGGACCCTACTTCGACCTCCAGCTCTCCCACCACAAGAGCCGCAGCCGCAACGGATGGCCCTAACGGCGGGTCTAACGGCGATTCCAATTCCGACGGCGATTCCAACGGAAGCTCATCGTCCTCGACCCCAGTGGGACCGATCGTCGGCGGTGTCGTCGGCGGCCTGGGCGCCGTCGCGCTGATCATCCTCGGCATCTGGATGCTGATGCGGCAGAGGAAGAAAGGAAGCCAAGCAGCAGCCGCGGCGGCGGCGACGCAGCAATACCAGTCCCATGCGCCTCCGCCTCCCGGCCCCGGCCACCAGGACCCGCACATGTCGCAATACTACGGCGCCGCGGCGGGCGCAGGCTTCAGCCCGATGGACCCCCGCGCGAGCATCGCCAAGCCGCCGGCCTACGCGGGCGCAATGCCGCATAGCCCCTATGGGTCGCCGGGGCCCGATCAGGCGGCGGTCTCCTCGATGACCAGCTCCCCGCCGCACAGCCCTTCCCCCGCCTATCACCCGCACGGTACCCCGTCGCCTCCGCCACCGCAGCAGCAGCCGGGGCAGTTTGGCCAGCCGCAACCGCAACCGCAACAGCAGGCATACGGAAACGTGTCGCCTGGGGCGGCGTACCCGCAGCAAGGACAACCGGGATATGGTGCTGGTGGAAACGGGTATCCGCAGCAGCAGCAGCAGTATACGGCTGAGCTGCCCGCGACGAGGGGGGATGGAGAGTTGAGGGAGTTGCAGGGCTAGATATAGCGGTTTGGCATTAGGGGCTTTGTTTTTGGCAGTTACGTGTCCATGATCTTTCGAGCAAATTTTGTTTTGCATACCGTAGGAGTGCCTGGGTAATTCTCGCTAAATATAAGGTAGGTAACTGTGCTGACGGGGTATCGATAGGTAGTGGGATATGGACACACTAGGTACAGAAGGGTATCCAGTTGAAATAGGAATCAAAAGAAATTTTACGTACTATATCATAATCTACGTGGTCTCAAAACAACCCACACGCGGGACTGCCACAATTCAAGTTTGGAACTCAAGTCGTTTGACTATTAGGAGAAGCTCAAGCCAAGAGTCATTCAGCATCAGAACAAGACCCTTCAAAGCTTGCTCCTCCTCCACTTCGCATATGGATGCTCCTCGCTCAGATCCGCGGGCACCAGATGATCAACCGCCCGCGTGTTCAGCAGGCCCGGGTGCAGCTCATCCAGCCGGGTGACGCCGCACATCTTCATGGTCGTCACCAACTCATCGTTGAGAACTGGTTCCGGTCAGTCAGTCAGTCAGTCACTCAGTCAGTCAGTCACGTCACCATCAGCGTCACCGTCACCCACAGGACCAACGAAGGTAATTCCGGATCGGGGGGATCAGGAAAACCGCAGAACTTACTCTCTAGGACTTTCCTTACGCCGTCTTTGCCCCATCCCAAACCTGCTCGCAAAACACAGGTGTTAGTTAACGTTACTCACCTTTTCTTGAAAAGTTATTCCCCTCCGGGGTCCCGGTGTGTAAAAATCCTTGGGGGCGTTTTTTTTCTTCTTTTCTTTTCTTTCTTCGTTTTCTTCTTCTTTTTCTTTCTTTTTCTTTCTTTTTCTTTCTTTTTCTTTCTTTTTCTTTCTTTTTTCTTTCTTTCTTTCTTTCTTTCATTCATTCTTTTTTTTTGAAACCAAGATAAATGAAGAAAAGACCGCAGGACATAGTACAATACATACCATACAGAACCCCCCTGCCGACCCCGACCCCTTTCGCCCCGAGACACAGCGCCTTGAACACATCGGTCCCGCGCGTCACGCCGCCCTCGACAAACACCTCCACCTCGTTAAACACGCGGGGGCAGCACCGCTGCAGCTCCAGGAGCACGAGGACCGTCGCGGGGCTGGTGTCCAGGCTGCGCCCGCCGTGGTTCGAGATCACGATCGCCCGCGCGCCCGCCTCCGCGGCCCGGACCGCGTCGGCCGCCGTCTGGATGCCCTTGATCACCAGCGGCACGTGCGGCGGGAGGAGAGAGCGGAGCCAGGGCAGCGTGGCCTGCCACGTCAGCGACGGCGAGATGTACGACGCCATGAGTCGCCCCAGCGCGGAGCCTCGCTTGTCCGAGGACGGGGTGAGTGGCGTGGCCATGGGCGTTGCTATTGTTGTGGTGGTGGTGGTGGCGGTGGGAGGGGGTGGAACGCGCTCGTCGGCCTCGCGCTTGCCTGATACCGGGGCGTCGACGGTCAGGAAGACGCCTTGGATCTGGGAGGGGGTGTTGGTTTTGCTTCCCGTGAGGGATTGGAGGAGTGAGGCGGTCTTGGATTGGTTCTTGTCCACGTAGAGCTGGAGGAAGACGGGGTGCGGTTCGTTACTGTGGTTGGCGGAAGAGGGTGACGAAGAAGAAGGTGGATCGGGACTGGGGTGCTCTGCTGCTGCGCGGACGACGTCGGCGACGGAGAAGCTTGCGCTGGTGCTGACTACCTGGGCAATGCCGCCGAGCTCTTTGCAGGCGCGCGCGACCTCGAGCTCGCCCTCCGGATGGACCGTCTTGCCGAGCGAGGTTGGCGAGACGAAGATGGGAGAGGCTGCGGCCCGGCCGAGGATGGTGGTCTCGAGGGAGACAGGGGCGGACACGTCGACCAGGACACGGGGCCGGAGGGTAATCTCCGAGTAGGTGGTGCTATTGCGGCGGTGAGTGTGGCAGTCTGTTGCTGCAGAAGAGATGAAGGCGAGCGTCTTGGGCGGGAGGAAGGTGTGGGCGGCCAGGCGGAAGTCGTTGACAGAGATGAGGCGGGATAACGGTGGTTTTGGCGCTGCCTTGTTGGGCAACAGCATTGTTGACGGGGAGACCGGCAGTGGCGAGGAGAGTCGGCCGACGTGTTTGGACTCGGGGAGGACGGACTTGACGAGGGAGGCGGAATGCACGGCGTTGTAGGCGGCGGTACCATCGCCGCCGGCGTGCTGGAGCAGAACATCCACGCCGCCAGGATGGGTCGGGGCAAACTCGGTGAAATCGTAGATCTCGCCATCAATGGCAATCCAGAGAGACGCCATGTTTCTATGCTGGGAAAGCTCGGCGGGGCTTATTGTTATTGTTGGCGGCATTGCGAGTGTTCGATGCTATCGAAAATGCGAGACAAAAGAAACAAGACACGCGGCATTAATAATGAAATACCATTAAAACTCAAAGCGACAATGTTGATAATATGTGACGCCATGAATTAGTCTCCTTAGCGCTCCGGACCTCGGCTGTGTACGCCGGAGCAGGCCGAGACTGCGGCGGTTCGGGGGGATTATACCCGAGGTGTGGGGCTCTCCGCTTGACGTCGGGGGCGGAAGCCGGGATCGACTATCCGTACAACCACCCCCCGAAATGGAAGGAGCGCTCACGTAGTGTAAGGTGTGCTCAGGCTCTCGGAGAAAAGGTCAATTGGATCTTCAATTCTCACCTGCCAACGCCTTCTGAATCAGCGTCGCTGCCCTCTCGCTCAGCTGCATGCCCAACGCCAGCTTCCTTCCGTCGTCGCTCATCTTGGCCCATGTCTTCCTGAGGATGTTGATCATCTTCTCCTCGTCCATCTCGCTCTTCTTCTCGAAATCGTCAAACTGGTCGTCCAGGAACACCAGACAGGCCACATCCTCGAGTACCTGGGTCTCTTCGTCGGCCTTCAGGTTCTCCTTCCGCACCAGCGCCGCGACCCGCTCGACCTCGTCCTGCGCTAGTGACGGCTGGATGGCCGGGGAAGACGACAGCAGCTCTGCGACTTGCTCTGCAGCTTGCGCCTTTTGCCTCGCACGCCAGGTCAAGTAACCCGCGCGCGTCATGGGGTAGCTGGAGCGGGGCAGTTCCCAGCTGTAATGAACGGAAGACATGGTAAGGACTTAGCGGATGTAAAGGAACGGAGAAAGGGGTTCAATTGACGGAGTGCAATTCCCGGGGGAAACACACCGGCGGAAATGCTGTGCCCGGCAGGCGAGCTGCAGCGCGGGCGATGCATCCGGCTTGCGTGAAGCTAGCCAACGAGTCATTTTCCGGGCATAGTGAAGCTCGTACGGGATCGGCCCATCGTCGCCCGAGATTGTGTTGGGGTCTTTCGCGTGTGCTTCGTCGATGAGCCTGATGGCCGTAGCATAGTTCGCTGCGAGGGATCCGGCAGCGTCCATTTTCATTTTCGGAGAGTCCAAGGGGCTTGAGTGAGTGGTGTTTTGTGACTCGTGTGTGTAGAGAGAGATAAGGGATGATTCGTCTGGCTGAGTCAGCAAACCGACAAGTATCTCGGCCTGCCAAGGACTTTTACCACGAAGTACGAAAAGAGCTCGTGCTACACCGAACATCCAGGGGACGCCTGCTGCAACCTTGAAAGACAATACTCATGGAAAAGCAAAACAGCCCTAACTCTCTACGCCAGGGTCTCCGGGACATACATTCAATAGCATGCAATGAACCGCTGACGTGTCACAACCTGGAAGACCAGTGATTCGGGAAGTCACAGCATCTGTATGTAGCTAGGCTTCATATACGACTTATATGTCTCAACAGGTATAAGACAAATCCAGCGCATTGCTTCCGGAGCAGGACATCTATTTTTCTCATAAGTACCCGTGGGAGGCCGCTTCAGTAAAGCGAGGATAATAAGCCCACTGCCTGCCAGCCCCTGTTTCTCATCTCCCCTTTGGACCCTTTGAATACAGTCATAAAATGTCTTCACGATTCCACAAACGAAGCAGCAGAGCCAACAGCTCCCCGAGATGGACCTGCTGCAAGTGTTCTGCCTTCAACCCGCGGGGCCGCCACACATGCGATGGAATCCTCCCGTTTCACGACGTCTATGACAGAGCCTGCAACCACTGGCGTTGTCCCGGATGCCTCTCATCGAACAACGGTACGCTCGTCAAAGGGGTAACCCCCTGAGTCCCACAAGTATTGTGGTGAATAACCAATCTAACTCCTGACAGAAAACTCAGCCCGACCCGACGGCAGAAGTGCACCAGCGCCGCCGCCGCCACCACGACCACGATCACCACGACCACCACCACCAACCGCAGTCTACACGGCCTCAAGCTTTCCTCCCCCTGAGCCAGCAGCCTCGCAGATCCCACAACAAAATCCTCTCCTGTCCCATTATTCCTCCCCTCACAACGCTCTCCCACACACGCCATCCTCCCGCTTCTCGTACACCGCAGCGTACCTACAAAGCGCCGCCTCCCGGCCAAACAGCATTACGTTCGCCGAGGCATTCCCCGCGCCCACGTCGGCGCCCGTGACCGACCCGACTGCTGCGCTGGGGAATCTGCGGCTGGACTACTCCGCCGGAGGCTGCTACCACCACCACTACCACCACGACTATGATGAGCACGAGGGCGAGGAGGGCCTAAATGACGAACAGTCGTTGGCCCTGCAGCTGCCGAGGCAGAGGAACGGGCCAAGGGACGGGGTGACGAAACGTAGCAGAAACGGAAAGGATAGGGATACGGTAAGGTACCACAACTATGGCAATTCGAATCTGGGGGATGAGGTGAGAAAAGGCAAGGAGGGAAACACGGAAACGGAGATAGAAACGGAGATGGAAGCGGAGAGGAGAAGGAGGGAGAAGGGGAAGGGCAAGGAGACGGACTTCGGTCCGTCACAGTACCAGTACCAGTACCAGTACCAACCCCAGTTCCAGCATCCTGTCGGGTACCGGCCTGTCACGGTGGAGGACGCGTTGGAGGATGAGCATGCTGGCTGCTACTACCGCGGTGATGATGAGATGGAGGAGGAGTGGTGAGGGGTTACCCAACGTGTTGGGCTGACTCGGTGGTTTTGTTGACTTTGGAGTGGAATTCAGGGGCAAGGGGGTTAGGGTTGTATTGTACCTGGCGGTTGGCCCTCTTTTCGGTCGCATGCTGCTTGACTGTCTGCTTCGTGCCACTGTGCTTCGAGCTTTGCGTGAGATACATATGCCTTATATACAGTGTGACATGCTTCCAAGGGTACAGCAAACCTTCGGTCACCTACTGTACGCCCCTAAGGTCTATACACCGAGGACATTTTCTTCACGATAGCGACCCGTCTCACAGGCTGGGGTACGATACATCGAGCATTTACATTGCTCTTTCCACATTTCTCTTCCTAACCGCAGCGCCCTGGAGGCAGGCACTGCTCTTGTACAAACAAATAATCAGATCTTCCTCCTCCCAACCCCCTCTGGCTGGGCCAGAACACTTGGACCCGACACCCGGGACACTCTTTCTCACTCTCTCCCTCCACACCTCGTCGAGGCAGATGAACCTCCAGCCCCGCCGGGTGCACGTGGAGAGGATGGTTACCGGCAACCTGCAAGCAAGCTCTGTTGTTTCTCCACGGGGTCAAGTCAGTCCACATTTCCTCTAAAAGTGCCTCGGTTCTCTCAACGTCGCATGCATGTACACATGCGGAGTTCCGGTTGGCCCGCCTGCATCTACATCCTATAGGGCTCGCTCAACATCTGGCAGAACGAGCAGACATGCCTCGCTACCATTGCCACGAGGCCGGGCCAAGAAAGCTGAATGTAATCCCCACATATCTATTAAAAACAGCCACAACGTCCACAGTTGCACCCTGTTGAACACTCTGCAATGTCCTCTCGCTGCGCTCGCTCTCGGGCTTAGTTTGGCTTGTCCAACTCTAAAATGCCAGCGCTTTCCCCTCCCTCTCTGATAAGGCTCGGAGCAGGAAAGCAAGTAGGGCGGGCTGGCAAGTGATAGACCCCGAGAATAAAACTAGGCTGTCAAGACACCTCAAAGTACAATCGGCTCCATCCAGAAAGACACCGTCGTCTGCTGCTGACGTTCCGGGTATCACAGAGAAAATAAAAGTCTAACAGGAAAAGAAAAACAAGGCCTTGAGGTATGCAAACCTTGTAACACCACATGCATCCAACAAGCGCTCAATACCCCGCTCGTGTGCTGGTATGTACAGACAGGGGTTGGTCTTCGTCTTCGTAGATCAGATGGAATGATACAGCGGCGCAGCGATGATTAGAGAGGTGCGGCTGGCGTGTATGAAAAAGGTGCCGTGAGACGAGCGGCGGCCAGTCGAACTCGCAGCAGTGGATGTTGCCTGGCAAGTTGGAGCTGCGAGGAACAAAAGGGCTGAACGGCTGGATTATTCTGCTGGTCGCTGCCGTGGAAGGCGCGGAAGTTCCAGTGCTTCTTCGTACGCATGTGCTGCGGCTTCTTTTATAGCGCGAGCCTTGATGCGGCCGCGCGAAGGGTGACTATGCCGAGAAGATGAGGCTCGAAACATGCGAGGCCGTCAGGAACGTGAGGCGCTTGAAGCTGGTCGGTGTCTGGGCCCGATCGCGGCTGCTCGCTAGCGCTATATCATCCCCGGCGGTACACTTCTCTCGGCGTCGTCGACCCGTAGTGTCCCTTGTGTGCCCGGACTCGAGCCTTTGTTCGATCCAAGTCCCCGCTTCATCATCTTCCCCAGCACCGTCACCAACTCGCAGGCATCGTTAAACATGTCGTTGTCGATGCCCTCGGTGGCCTCGTAAACCTCCGCAATGGTGTCCTTTGCCAACTTACGGCTGCCCTCGGCGTCGTGAACGCACTCGTAGAGAAAGGCGGCGTACTCGGTCTTGACCGAGAGGCGGAGCGAGTGTGACCCCCATAACAACTCCTCAGCAAGCTGGACGGCCTCACGGAAGTATTGGTGTGCTTCCGGTAAATAATCCCCAGGCTTCATCAGAAACGCTGTAGGTGGTGCCGGTCCGAACCCTGGGGGAGGGCCTACCGGGCCACCCTTGGACTTAAGCCCACCCTGGTCATCTCTCGCAATCCCCTTCCCTTTGTCGACCCGCGTTGACGGGAAACCTGATACGGACGATGTGGACTGACCCTCAGGCGTGTTGATGACGCTCATGGTCGATACTGGCGGGGTGTTGTGGAAAAGGACAAAGATGTGATAGAAGGAAGCGCGCAGTTTGTACGCTAGGACCTTCAGCTCGACATAGTTCCCAACCATAGGCAGAACGTATTGCTGCAGCAAGACCAGTCCTTCGCGTGACAGCCAGATGATGTGGCAGATCAAATCCAACGCCTCTGCTGACTGAACACCATCCTGTCTTCGCTGCTTCCGTGCTTTGATCAGTTGGTTCGAGAGATTGATGGAAAGGCCTAGGATCCTGAACAGAACCGACGCGAGGAGGGGATTGTCGTTTTCAACCGCCTTGGCAAGTTTGCCGAGAAACTTCTGGTCGACTTCGGAGGAAGCCATGTAAGACGTATTCCGCCAGGTGGCAGTCAAACAGTCTGAAAACCGGGTGGCTAGAGATGCGCCGTGAGGTTACCTCCGACGAATGATAGTAATGACTATCGGAGAGACCGCGTTCGAGGTGCGAGATACGCCCAATTGCCTCCCCTCCAGCAAAATCAATCTAAACGAGTGAATTCCGGTCGGTTTGCTTGGATCCCGCATCAGTTGAGTATAAGCAGCTCAGGAGACGGCGGGAGTTAGGGTGGAGCCTGTTGAGATGCCTTGCACTTCGAGACCGCAAACCAGCGCTCACCGACTCAGTGAGTTTGTGCCGGAATTACACACAAAACTGCAAGCGGTGAATCAGATGATTGAGTACCTAGGGAGCTTGGGTCCGTCATTGGATGAGTACTGACCAATATGATACAGCGAAACGAGCAACCGCGAAAAGAGGAAATTTGTACAGGGCGGGCAAATGATAAGCCGGCGACCGCGGAGGGTGACCGTTAACACCAAAGCGACCCGGAACAGAATCGACGCTCGAAATTAGGATTGGTAGGCATGAGGCTATTGACGCAGGGCATGGCGGCGTTTCCGTGCGTGCATGTGTGTGTGTGTGTGTGTGTGTGTGTGTTGAGCGAGTGAAGGCCGGACGTGGTGTTTTACCGGTGGCTGAGATGAAACCGAGCCCGCCTCCCCCGGATCTTGTGCAGCACAAACACGAGCGGGTTCTGGAAGGACTCCAGAAACGCGCGGGCGCGGGGCCGCGCAAAGAATGCTGACCGGGGCTCCTGCAAGCTCTTCTCGGGCAGCACGGTTCAGCTGATGAAGTGGACTCGGCGAGGCCTAACACGCTGCGCCAGGCCTTTGAAGACCAACAAAGTGGTGGAGCTTTGCGAGATGCGACAGCACCCAGACAGCGACCTGGGGCCGATTCGACAACAGCAGTGGGTCAATTGGCGGCGCGGCTCATGCCCGGAGCCGGGGTCGGAGCGCGCTCTCGATCAAACAAAGGCGGTCGTTGTATTGTACGGAGTATTACCGGCCTCAGTCAGGGTAAGTAAACAAGATCAGAATATCGCATGCTCCCGCCGGGTTTTGGGGCCCGGCAGTGTCTTAAAGGAGAGGTGCAGTACCAGAAACAAGGCACAGCGAGGGTCCAGTGCATGAACGAGAGACAGTAGTGGGCCCGCGGCCCTGGGGCGTCTTGCGGATGGGATGGCTTGATGATAGTTTGGACAAATCAACAACGACCCGACTCGGCGGCCCAGACTAGCGCACCAGATGACGCAGCCACAACAGACAATGCAAGGCAAGACGGAACAAATGCAGATCGCGACGACGGAGCAGGTTCGAGAAAAGAGCGACGGGTCCCATAGGGCAACGAGTGAGATGGGGTCCCAGGCCGGGCTGTTGTTGAAGGCGAATGGAAGCCGTTGGAGGACTTGCAGATGGCGCGCTGCAAGGTGAGTTGTCCACCGCCCTCAAATCACTTGGATGCAGGCCACCGGCCCCACGGGTCCATCCGGGCGGGGACAGCGAGAGATTGAGACGCGCGAGACGCATCAGACGCGATGCATGGCGGCAGCGGAACCCGGGGAGCCGCATGCGCCGGCAGCATCAGTTTTTAAGGAGAGGATCTGAGAAAGAGAAGAAGACCGGCTGGAAGGAGCAACAGGATGTGGGAAGGAAGGAGGGGTTCGAGCTGGCAAAAGAGGGGTTGATGAATCTGAGATTCGAGTTGCTCTCGTAAATGTTCTTACCCGGAACTCCTACAGGTAATTGCTGTGCACGGACCTCAAGTGGATTCAAGCGCGAAGACTGCTGGGCCAAGATCTTGCCAAGGTGAGAGAGTCTAAGAAAGCACCTTATAGGTTGTACAATCAAAAGAAGCTGCTCCACCCCTCAATACAAAAGGCGTGGTGGCAGAGTGGTCTAATGCGCAAGACTAGAAATCTTGTTCCTTCGGGAGCGTCTGTTCGAATCAGGCCCACGTCGTTGGGAGGGGGCAAAGCTCCTTTTTCGCCCAGTGTGCACTGTGCAGGCTTAGGTTGCTCCCCAGCCATTCATTTCCTTTCAAAACATCGTGACGCAGCCCAATTGGTGCGACTCATTGACAATAGCCTAGCAGCTAGGCCTTATCGATGGCCTCGCCCTGGCCTTGGATGATGCGGCCACCCTTCCACACCTCCCGGGCACAGTCCGCCTCTCGGCGTGTCGAATTTACACAACATCAAAAATGCGCACGTTTTTCTGAATGACAGCTCGGCGCGGGTTGCCGACATATGGTGAGATCAACTGGCGGTGAGCAACTAAGGACCCGCACCGCCAGAGAGGCGACCCAAAGCAAGGCCAGCCCAGTTTCAGCCGCTCAGCGCATTCAACAGCCTCAGCTCGAGCGGCTCATCTCCCTATTCCCGATTTGTAATCTTGTATTTCCAGTCCCTTTCGCGCGAGCTCAACCCCGCGAGTGACAGAGAGCGAAAGAAAGAACATAACCGCAGGACAATGATCTGATTGTCGAGTTTACGCAGTATAAGTACGATCAGGGGGTGTGTGGTTACCAACCGTAACATTGCATCTTGTAGCTCGCCCTGCACAGCCCTATGAGAAGACCGGTTCACACCGTCTCCGTATCTCAACGACCACTTTCTTTCCTTGGAGTTGGGGTCCATGCAGTGGCCAAATACCTATTCAGCCGTCGCACAGCAGTGGTCCAGCGCTCACTTACATTCCTATTTCGGAAGCTGATGAGGTCACAGCGATGATGGATATTGAGGTTTGACCAAGGCCGAAGGTTCAAGCAGCAGCTCTGGGCCGCACCATGTATCCCGAATCGGCCGCTCGTGGTTTTTGTATGTACGTGTAACACAAGTACCCGGAAGCTTTCATGGCACAAGCGGCCGCAGAATCGCTCCGGGTTCCCGGCGCCCCGCTTGTGAAAGGTTACCAGTCGCTTTATTAGCGTACTCGCATTCATCCTGACAACGGCGGTCTCCCATCCGTAGCCTCGCACCGGGTGTCACAAGGATTATTGGTCAGGCGAGCCAGCTCGGCCCTTCAGTGGCTCGTGCTGCCCAGGCTGGAGGGTCGTCTGTCAACACGAGCTACACACAACGCAGCGCAAGAGCTCAGCAGTAGATAAAGCCGTCAGCTTTATAGGCAGCTGGTGTGCGGCAGGGTAGAATATGCGCTGCATAGGTGAGGCGAGGCCATCTCGCCACTCGGCTCAGCTGTGTAGGTATATGTTGATGTGTGTGCTTAGTGATGGCTCATCCGGGTGGATTGTGTATAAGATGGTGCCTTGTTCAGGGGGGCTCACGAGTTCGGGGATTTTATACAACCAGCAGAGTCTTCCTACCCTTCTTCACTTGAGCGGAAATCTTGATCAACCCGCCGGCTTCTTCACCATTCCCCCATCGGGGCCATCTTCAGTCTGTCGAGGACGGCATATCCCTCGCCAGTTCAACATCACAATCACTGCTGCCACCGCCCACCACCACCACCCATCACGATCTACACAATCCCACACGGAGAGAAGCGAGAAAACCATTCCTTCGCACCGCCGAGCAAAACCGGGGGAGAGAGAGGGAGAGAGAGAGAGAGAATCAGAATCCCAAGCAGAATAGAAAAAGAAGAAGAAAGAAAGAATGTGCCGCTACTACGCCCACCTCCACTCTTGCAAGCACACCTCGCTCGCCTTCGCCGCCTTCTGCAACCCGGCATCCCTGATCCAGAACCCGTGCGGCGTGCGGCACATCTGGCAGACCATCCGGCTCGACGAGCTCTGCGAGGACTGCAGTAGGGGGGTCGTTGAGGAACCACAGCAACAGCAGCAATATCATCAGCAGCAGCACAGTGGTGGTGCTGGCGGTTATGGTTATGGGTATGGCCAGGGGAGGCGATGAAGAAAGCGGCATAAGGGTTGCTGCTTCGGGCAGCCCCCTCCTTCTCCCATCTCCCGCGAAAGCGGGACGCGTTAGGTGGCCTTACTGTTTGTTTTCACAGGATGTGATTTATGCGGTTGTGGAATTCTTTTACCAGAGGCCGAGTCTCGGTTGTGGTATCTCTGGCTATCGATGACTTCAATGAGGTTATGAACATGACATGACGGTTGTGCGAAGGAGAGAGGAGAAAACACCTGGATGAATTTCACGATGACATGACTTTTTCTTTTTTCTCCTTAGATAGCTCACCTCAGCAATGACCATGTACAGTACAGTAGTTAGTGTGCACGGCGAGCGGGTTAAGGTGGAGAGCTGGTAGAGAGGGAAGGCTAGTGAATCGAGATAAGATGATGTGTTCAGGATGTGTAAGGTTCTGCGAGCTTGATAGATGGAATGTTTGTCTTTCTGGGTGTATCTCTAGCACTAATGTTATTTATACGGGCAACGCAGGTCATGTTCTGCGAGCGACGTTGTATTAGGTACAATACGCTTTTAATCGGCTTATATATATATGTAAGGTATATACTGGTTCGAGCATTTTAATATCCCCCCAGTCTGCCGCTATCCTAAGGTAGCAAGTCCCGCTCCTGGCGCAACAGCAATTACATCTTTCACACTCAAGACCCACCACCACCGCCGCCGCCACCGGCTACCCTCCCCGATGGAGAACCTAACGCCTTCTTCCTGCGACTTGCAACACCCAACACCTGCATATCCGGGCCCATCCCCAGGGTCAGGCCCAAGCCCAACCCAAGCGACCCGTCCATACTCTTATCAAAATGCTCGTGCCCGACACTGACCACCTTCACCACATCTCCAAACCCGACTGCGACACTCATCGTGCCAACTCTGACCATGGGACCCAGCTCGGATATCATCAGGTTCTGGCGGTGATGTTGGTGGTGGTGGTGGTGGTGGTGGTGGCCACGCAGGCCCGGAGACGCTGCCATATCCGGTTCCGGCTCATCCAGCGGCCTGGTCTCAAAGTCACCGCTCGTGTCCGGGCGGTTGAGAACCCACGCTTCCCACTCTTGGGATGGCGGGCTGTGGGATTGGGAGGTGGAGTACGACGAGGAGGATGAGCTCGCTGTTCGTCTGCGCAGGCCTGGAAAAGCCGAGGATGCTACCGTTGGCGAGGACGATCGCTGTTTTTGTTTCCGGCGGATGCCGACGATGCTCCCGCTGGGGAGGGTTTCCCAGACGCCCGGGTCTGGGATGCGCTTGATGGTTTCTTCTGCTCGGCCCCATTGGCTGGAAGGGCTGCTGCCCGGCGACACCGGCGAAAAGGAGGTGAATGCGTCGGCCTCGGTTTCGGGCAAGTAACTGTGTACAACCAGCTCACCGGTTTCGGCACTGGTATACGATAATATCAGCGATGCGAGGCCTCGTCTTTGAGGGCTCGGGACGCAAATATGCTTTAATGTCCGCGGTCGCATCATCTCTGTGCGGAACGTGTGGAGAATGAGCGATGAGTCGAGATCTACCAAATCGACGGACTGCGAGCGGCCGATTAAATACATCGATATGGCCGAAACAGGCAGCAGGCAGTGAATGTCCTTTGCCTGCTGCTCCCCTTCGTGTTTGACTTCGGTCGACACCCACTCATTGGCCCGCTGTCTGACAAGGTGGATGCAGTTCTTGCGAGATGCCGTGAGGATGGATACAGAAAGAGTTTGTTGGCCTGAGAAACCGTGATCAGTACGTCGGAAAAAAAGCTGTCTTGAGAGCATGAAGCTGGAGATGTTCTGGGTGTCGTCACCACTTACGCTTTTCTGTAAACGAGACTGCCCAGACCAGGGGCGTCCTGCATATGACGAAGTCTCTGGTCTCCTCGCTCCCCAGTTGTATCTCCAGACCCACACCATTCCTTCTCACCAGCACTAATGACGGTCTTGCGTCTGGCGCCTTCGTCATGAAGAACGCTGCCTCTGGCCTGTGACCGCCAAGGTCGATATCCCTCGTTCCCGCCCACTGTTGCTCCTCAAGACTCCACAGAAATACTCTCTGCCAAGAGACGAGTGCCAACCATCTCCCATCATCGTCCATGGCCATGCTCAAGACCGGGAACGGATTCTCCAGCGGCACCTCCGGGTCAGAGAGCACCGGACTCCTTGACCCGGCAGGTACATCCCAAACTTGAATGGAGCGGTCGAGTCCGACCGACACTAGCTGGCCCCCGGGCGATGCGGTCAACATAGCAACGTCTAACGTATGGCCTTTGCTCATGGTCTGGACCGACAGTAGCGGTTCATCGTCGGGATGGTGTCCCGGTCCGTCTCTGGACTGGTCTCTTATGAGGTACTCGGTGAAAAGCCGGAGCGCAGCCAGAACGGTGAGCAGCCAGACAAGACACTGAGGAATGCGGTGGTGGATGAAATCGTATAGAGCGGGCAAGAACAGAGGCTCGCTCGTATCTGGCGTGCGGTCGGATCCTTTCAGCACGAAGACCAGCGGATCATAGACGCGGGCCACGTAGCTGTGAGCCCGTGGCTTGATGACCCTGATGACCTCTCTCGCCGTTTCGTGATCTTGAAGGCGCAGCCAAGAAGTCGGACTCCTGGCCTGATGGACGTCAACCAACAGCGTCGATTTGGGCGTGCCACTAGCCGCCCTCCACGACCAGCTGACGAGTTGATTCAACCACTGGCCGGGCCCCTCGGAGACGTAATGCGCCTGTGCGATAAGAACGAAGCCGACCAAGACGATGGTTCCTGCGATTCTCGTCGACAGAGCGGTCTCGCCCAGGCGGATCGGGAACATGGTGTTGATCCACGGCTGCCGGGGCAGCTCGGCGGCGTTGGCGAGCTTGCGTTTCAACGAGCTTTTCTCTAGCTCGTGGAGCTCTCTCTGCCGCACGTCAATGCTGAGGACCGAGAGGAAGAAAGTGGCAAGGTAAAAGAAGTCGAAAAGTGTAGCAATGGCGGCAAAGGTGCAGAAGGCCGAGACGCCCGAGTACGTCATCCTCGACAGGAGAATGAGGATGAGGAAGTTCTGCACCCGGTTGGCGACGGCGATGTGGGCGGTTGCGCCGAATGCATCCCCTATCCTGTTGCTGTTGCTGATGGTGGAGGACGTCATGATGACGGTGTTTATCAGCCTGAAGGAGTTCTCCATGCTGAGAACAAGAATCACGAGCAGGTAAGCATAGTAGGGTATGCGGGAAAGGTCGACCTTGAAGATGGCACAGACCGTGAAACTCGAGACGATGGACGCGGTGATCTGCACCACGATGGCGGCCATGAGACCGAGCCGCGACTTGACCGCCCGTAGCCTGGACATGGATAGCAACAGGTAGGATAAGGCGAGAAAGTAGGCGAGCGTCAGGATCGCCCACTCAGACCATGACATTGGCTGGAATTGGAATTCGTAAAGCTGATTCGAAGTACTCTTGCCGCCGGGCGGGATGATCTGCCACTTGCCATCGTGTTTTGCCGCCTGCGCCAGGGCTTCGGCCTTGCGCACCCACTGCCTGCCCACAGGCGAGTCGTGTAGGTGAATCAGGGTGATGACGAGTGCATCTGCTGCGACCAGCCGACGCTCCTCGAAGCGTTTCCCGCTGAACACGATCGAGTGGCGCAAGGTCGTGTTGACAGAGGTCGTCTGTGCCTTTCTCTCGTTGACAGTCGCCACAATGTCCTGGTCCGCGAGGATCTTGTCGGCCGAGCCAGACCAGTACTGGAGCGGCGAATGGAAAAACCACGACTGGTTAGTCAGGCCATTGACGATGTGGAATGCATCTCGCTGCCGGCGGCCCAGGTCAGCCTCCGGATCCGGCAACGCTCGAGGGCCGTATGGCTGGCGCGGGCTGAAGTCGACAGTTGGGCCGAGGATCTCGTCCTGCAACTCGAGGGCTCCGAGCAAGACATCGTGCTGGAGAGCCTTCATGTAACTCCCATGAACCCAGAGTGAGCGCATGATGACGTCGGGCACAACGCCAGCCTGGTCACTCAGGGGTTGCGCATCGGTCCAGACATGGTGTGGGAGATAGGAGACGCCACTCGCGAAGCTCGTCACATCGGTGGTGTAGAGAGAGGGGAATAGGTACAGAAAGAGGAAGACAATTGCCCCAGATAGGGGTAAGACAAGCTTCACATGGCGAGCGGTCCAGGTGCCGTACCGCGTAAAGGCTCTCCGCAAGGGATGAGTGGGAGCGAGCGCGGGCGCCTCGGTCGTCCTGCAACAAAGTCAGTCGGCACGGAGAGTTTGACTAAATTGTCAGGGAAGGCAATAAGACGCACCCTCTCAGCGGATAGAGGAGATACCACAACATAATAGCCTCGCGACTTGCATCGTCCGCATGGGCATGTGTCTTCGGGCGGAAGGAACCTTCACGGCTGCCGCACTCTCCTTGGGCTTGGGCCTCCCGAGAAAAGACGGAAAAGGTGGCAGACGAGCCCTTCGTCGCCCAAGCGGGAGTGCACGATATTCGCCGAAGCACAGGGCTGAAATCGGACGAGATGAGCCGCCTGTGACTTCCAGGTTGCGAGGGATGGACACGGCGCTGGAGCTATCAGCTGCAAGACATCCACATCTTCCAAATCCCAGGCCTCGGTAGAACAGGCACTAGCAGAACAGGCACTCGCCGCCTTCGGAGCCCAATTAGCAAAAGTCCAGGCGTTTCGATGCAGTGACTGATCCGTACCAATGCAGTGCTCAGGTCGTCGGCAAGGGGTGACGACAGTGGACAGCGAGGATCACCTTCTCGCAGCGGAATCGGACAATGCTGCAACCCGCACAGGAAATGAGGCTTTTGTGTTGACGTTGCACAACCCCCAAAACCTTGCCTGGGCCTCTCAGTAGGATTGTTTCAGAAAACGGGGGGCGTTGGAAAGGCTAGTTGGCAACTTCAATGCTGAAGGGCAAAGAACCCGTTGATGCAAGATTTATTTACTGATACTAGTAGATCCTCGAGACCGTCGTTGACGCTTGGTGTGGGGCATAGATGCAGGTTGATGCACTATTGATCCAGGGCTGACCATAATGGGAAAATCCAGAATTCGATTGATGCGCCGTTTTGCCATGGTTTTCCATTCCTTGAAAAGTATCTCAAACTCGCGCATGTGGAGAGGCTACGATAGGTACCTTAGGTATTGTACGATACCTACCCGACATGTAAATGGTTGCGGCCCAGCAGGCCAAAGATTCTTGGGCAAAAAAGGAACACCTCTCTTTTATACGACGTGGGCCTGATTCGAACAGACGCTCCCGAAGGAACAAGATTTCTAGTCTTGCGCATTAGACCACTCTGCCACCACGCCTTCTGACATTCGAGATGTCTGCCTTGCCTCGTCTACGAACATATGACCATAACTGGCTTTCTCGAGTAAAACACGCACGGACCCGTGACTGCGGCGCGCTTCCGTCGGCGAATCCCGAAAGCACGATGGTGCAACACGATGCTGTTCGTTATCAGTGCACAACCTACGGTATTAGTCTAGCGACAATGGTTCTGGTCTTAAATTCAGCAGAACACAGCAGAATCAGTAGCCTTAAGTATTACTTCAACGCACGAAAATAGAACAGCCAGCAATACTAGGGAGTCTTGTTTCTACACTGACTCCTTTGGGGGATTTGAGTCGGCAAGGAGAGCACGGGTAAGGCTTTGGAAGGCACCGTCGGCAATGGCATGAGTGACAGTGAGCGAAACGCAAGGGACTCTAACCGCCGCATACCGCACCCGGCGAGGGACTCAAGTTGGAAGAGCCACCTAGAAAGAGCCACTTAGGCACCAACCTAGAATACGTTGCAAAGAACATTGAAAGCTCGCTCCATCCACCCCGGCCAACAATAAATTCCCATCGACAGTTTAAGCGACTAAGGGTCAAGCAAGCACGCGGGATGGAATCGAAGGGAAAGGGAAGAAGAAAAGTAAAGCTTAAGACGAAAGTAAAGGAGTAGAAAGAAAAGAAACAAAGAGGCATGTCCAAGAAGATAGGCACTGCATTGACCGCCGAGTCCGCCGGCTGAGGTCGATGTTCATGTACAGCTTTTTTTGGTTGGAGGAGCCGTCCTCGCATCCCACGGTGACGGATCTTCGGGGAGACCCGTTCGATGAATGGCACCCCTCGGAAGTAAGCTGGCTCATAAGATCACAATGGAGGACCAGAAAAGCCAGGATCCAGTAGAAGAGCTCATTATCAACTACAATGAGCTGAACAGTTCCGTCATCGAGGAGCTCAGCGAGGAGCCGAGTCCGCTCGAATTCATGAGATTTGTGGCCCGGAACACGCCGTTCGTCGTAAGAGGCGCAGCAGCCGACTGGCGAGCAACTCGCACATGGAATGTCAACTTCTTGAAGGAACTGCTCGACGATGAGGCCGTCAACGTTGCGGTCACGCCTGCTGGGTTTGCACACGCCAATCGCATATACAATGCAACTGGATGAACAAGAAAAACTAACTCTTCCCTCAGCAACGCCGACGCCCCAACCCCTTTCACCTCCCCTGACGGTACTACCACGCTAGTCTTCGCCAAACCCCACGAAGAAGACCAGCCCTTCGGCGCCTTCCTAGACTACCTCATCGCGCAGGAACAACACTCACGGCGCCTCCCCGCGTCGCAGGCCTCTTCTTCCCCATCACGCCGCACTCCAGCCCGAGCCCCCACCCGCAGAAGCGCAGAAGAGTCGCAGCGGGAAGAGATCCGCTACGCCCAGACCCAGAACGACAACCTCCGACACGAGTACCGCGCCCTGTTCGCGCACGTGCCGCCGTCCATCCCCTTCGCCCGCATCGCGCTGGCGCGCGAGCCCGAGGCGATCAACCTGTGGATCGGCAACTCGCACTCGGTGACGGCGCTGCACAAGGACAACTACGAGAACGTCTACGTGCAGATCGCCGGGCAGAAGCACTTTGTCCTGCTGCCGCCCGTGTGCCATGCTTGTGTGAACGAGACGGCGTTGAAGCCGGCTCATTACCGGAGGAGTAGCGTGGGCAGAAGATCCTCAGAGGGTGAGGACGAGCGGGACAGAAGGGAAGATGAGCAGGCGGGAGGAGGAAGTTTAGGAGGGGCAGGGCTAGAGTTAGTGGTGGAGGAGGGGGAGGAAGAGGTCCCCTTTGCGGTGTGGGATCCGGATACGCCCGAGGAGAACTCGACGCCGTATTCTGCGCTCGCGCAACCGATGAGGGTTACGTTGAACCCGGGGGACATGCTGTATCTGCCTTGCATGTGGTGGGTTGTCACGGCCTGCCTGACATATTTGATAGTTTAGAGAAAGAGCGGCTAACTGTGAGCGACAGGTATCACAAAGTTGCGCAGAGTTGCTCGCCTGAGGGGGTGTGCATCGCCGTCAACTACTGGTATGGAAGACCCGAAAGCTGCGCAGGTTTTTTGTTTACAGCTCACTGACCAGAATTTCAAACTCCAGGTATGACATGGACTTCACCGGACCTCTATATCCCTTGAGCACATTTGTCAGATCGGTATCTAATAGGAGAGACATGGCGCTCTAAGGGGTCTCACTGTAAAAGCAAACGTAACTAGAAGGGGAAGACGATAGAAAAGACGAATGCGGGATAGGAAATTGAATGAAAAGAGACAACGGGATAAGAAGCTTACCCACAAGCCGTCTATCGGATCTTTTGTGAGGAAGCTTGGTGGCCACGAAACCCTCTAGCCCGGCGCTCACCAGTCGGATCACCGAGTTTAAGGAAAACTGGCAACTCAGTTCGAGGTTGGAAACACTCGAACCCAGGCCTGCTGCGCAACAGTGAATCTTGAGAGATTCCTGCCTTGAGCCTCTGGTATTGTATTCCAATTCCAAACAGCTGAGCGTTTTGGCCCGCATGACCTATAATAATGCCCCTTGAATGCGCTCTCCAATTCTCTTGGCGCATCTACTTTTTCTTCTTCGAAATCCTCTTCAGCGCCCGCATCTCCTTCTTCATACGCGGGTCCACCATCTTATACCTGCCCTTGACGCCCCTAGGTCTGCCGGAGATACCGCGGTTCGCGCCGGCAGCCTTGACCACCTTGACAGGCTGTCTACGCTTCTTCCGCGCAGCTGCAGAGAGCAGCTTGGCGATGCTAGTGGCCTTCTCCTTCTCAGACATGCCCTGCACCGCTGGTCAGCATACAACGTCCAACAAAGCGTGTGTGGAGCGGGAGACAAACCTCATCCCCAGCCAGCAAATCCGCCTTCTTCTTGAGCTTCTCGAGGCGTTGCGCCTGCTTGAGCTTCTTCCTGGCCCGCGCCTCAGCGACCTTCTTGATCGGTCGGGCATTGTAGGCCCGGAGCTTCTCCTTGATCGCCGCCGCCGCCTCCTTGGTGATGGGTTTCTGCGGCTTGTCATGCTTGCTCTCGTCGTCTATGAACCAGTCGGGCAACCCGTCGCGGTCCTTGAAGGCATACTTGTTGTAACCTTCGTCGATGAGGTCGTAGGCTGACTTCTCGCCACGAGCCAGCTGGTGAGCGAGTGTCATGGCTTCGGCAGTGATGATGTCGATGTCTATTGGCATGTTAGCCGCCGTATGAATTAGCCTCCGGACGGATCAGACTTACTGGGCCTGCCATCCTTCGTCTTCTTTTCCGTTTCCTCCCAATCGTCATCGTCATTCTCTTTCCGTTTGAGAACCTCAAAGTCACCATTCCCTTCCTCATGCTTGGATTTGGATTTCTCCCTCCGAAGCTTCTTTTGCTCCTCAATCGTTGGCACATCGTCTTCCGAGGCATCCTCAGCGTCGGGCATTGCCTCATCCCCGCTCGTCTCCTCTTCTGGAACATCCAGCAATCCGGGGATACTCTGGAAGATATCCTGGCTGAAGAAGCCGCGGGCCCGCTTAGAGAGGTCAGTCCCATCCTGCTGCGTGTTCGCAAGATCCCGCAGAAGCGGCTTGCTAGTGTCCCCGCGCTCCTCCGCATCCGAATCGTCGCTGCTGTCTTCCTCAAGCTCCTCATCGTCGTCGTCGTCGATAGCGCCCCCTTCGTCAGCTGAGACGCCCTCCCACTCCTCGTCGTCGTGTTCCTGCCTCGCCTTCTTGGCTCGGTACTTCGCGTCGGCTGCCGCCTTCCTCTCTCTGTACTGATCGTACATGCTGTCGAGTTCCCGCTCGAGCCGGTCCGCTTCCTCGTCACTCTCATCGTCGGTCTCGCCTGACGACCCAATTCCAGGGTCCCGGTCCTTCTTCGCCTCCGCCTCGGCAAGCATGGCCATCTTGCCCTTGGCTATCCTGCGCAGCGCCTCCGTCTGGTCGATCGTCTTGAGTCGGAACATGGCACCTTCGCCCCTTGGACCCTCCTGTTCCATGCCGATGTCCATGGGCGTTGTCATATGCATCTGCATGCGCACAATCTCCTTCTGCTTCCTTTCATTCTCTTTCCGCCTCTCGCGCTTCTTCTTGACTGACTCCTTCTCCTTTATCCTCTGCAGCTCTTCCTGGATCTTGAGCTCCTCGTCCATATTCTCCACCTCTGCCACCTCTTCTACGACCGGAGCCGTGGTGGTCTTCTTGGTAGGGAACCCGAAGATCTCCCGAACCCTCAGTCGCCATTTCAGAAGGAGCTTGAAGTCTTTCCTTCCGAGAACCTTCAAGTCGGCGCAGCAGGCACGAATCTCGTCAGTCGTTTCCGGTAACCTATCCAGCGCGGCCAGCGCTACGTCGCCGTTTTGGGCTTGCTCAAACGTCAAGCGGTTGTATTGACCGAGGATAGCAATCGGGTCAGTCGTCTGAATGAACTCGCTGGCGGGGATCTCTTTGTATTGTATATCTGCGTCGAGGTCAGCACTGCCAAGCCGTGAACAGGCACAGGATGCGCACAATCTCCCTCCTCATAACCCTCTCTCTTCCTCTTCTTCACCTCCGGATTGTACACCTTGGCCTCGTTGTTCGGCGCCGGGTCCTTCAGATCCTCGAACACGGAGCGAGGATCGAGCAGGCGCGGATCAATGCGCTTAGGGGCCTTGAAGTCGCGGCAGACCACGAAAATCTCGGCCGAGACATTACGCGAGGACGGCGGCTTTGTCGCCTCAACTTTTGTAAAGAGCTGGTTCAGGACCCATAGCAGGGAGTTGTAGTCCTTGGACCTGAAGACTTTGGTCTGCCGAGATATCAGTATTGTCCGGCCCTTTTAGCCAACTGTCCAAAAAACATACCACAAAGGTTCCTCCCTCGATCAGAAATTCGGTGGCAAGCTTCAAGGAATGGAGCGCCAGCTCGGCTTGGTTGTACGAATCCTGTACCCAGGCTGTACCGACGTTGGGAGCGCCGTCATGGAGCACACAGTCGGCCTTCCACGTCTTCAGGTGTTGGCGGATGGTCGCCCGACACTTCTCGGTCGTGATGTCGCTCTGAAAGGTGATGACCTTGGGGATCGGCTTGATCGGGGCGAGATCGACGCCAATGATGATGCTGTCCTTGGGCATTGTCTCGGCGCATACTTGACACCATGACTGATTGTGTCAGTATTCTCCAAAGGCCACTGTTACCACAACTCCGACTTACTCCGGGCGCCGCGCACAGATCCAGCACCACCTTGCTCTTCTCGAGGAAGCCATATTTCTTGTTGAGCTGGATCAGCTTGAAGGCGGCACGGGCGCGGTATCCCTTCTCCTTGGCAAGTTTGTACCACTTGTCGAGACGGCCCTTGCCGTGCTTCTTCTGGATCGCCATGAGGCCTGGTTGGCGGCTACTGTGCCTGACGTGATCGGACCCTCGAGGTATCGATGGGGACCTTGTACTTGTACAATATGTGGGCAACGGCCTCGAACCTGCAGCCGCCGATTTTTTTGGTGGAGATACAGCGACGATAAGCGATAAGCCTGTGATCGAAGCGGCGCCGCTCTTGGCGTTAACTGGCGGGGCAGCATCAGTGTGAATTGGCCCTGGCTGATTGGCCGGACACGTGAGCTCCAGCTCAGGCCGGCTTCTGATAGGCGGCTCAGTCCCAACCACTTAAAACCCCCTTGCTGTCAGCGCGTCATCGCACCGCGGAGCGCGTCTGAGAAGCAGTTCCTTAAGCGACGCGGGCAACGGCGGGCATGCCGCAAACCCCCCTCCACCACCAGCCTACTTACTTATTCACCGTTTGTGAAGTGTGTGATATGTTTCTCGTTCCTTGGCTGTAGCAGGCGATCTTTGTGGGAGTCATCGGTCGACAATAAGCAATACACGCCTCCTATTGTTTACTTTTGTGTCTATAGCCGCGGCACAGCATCGATTGGGGCCCTGGGCGCAGTCATCGGTCATGTCGGAAAAGATGCCGTCCTCCGGAACCAAGCGGTCGGCGGCCCCGAGCGCCAGTCTACCCTCGTCTCCTCCGAGGCTGCCCCCGAGCCGGGGCAAGGAGCGGAGGAACCCGTCGATTACGCCTCGGAAATTCCAGCGCTTCTTCACTCCACGATCCCGTGTGTCGTCCAAGCCAAGCGCTGCCCGGAAGGCCCTCTGCGATCTCACTGCCCCGGCTCTTAACCGGTGCCAGACACCTTCGAGCCCGCTCAAGGCCGTCTCGGATGACCTCAGCGCCGATGGCTTACCCCATCTCCAGGATGCCCACCGCGGGAAGCGGCGAAAGGTCCAGCTTGTTACTCCGGAAAAGTCCGCGAGCCATTTACCCTTGTCGCCGAACCCGTCTCCCCTACTGCCGACGCCGGACTTCAGACCACGTTTGAGGAGTCCGATGCGGTCCGTGATAACACGCCACGCTGTGCAGCACGGAGTCCTCGCGGATGATGATGTCTCCGGTAGCGAAGAAGACGATGACGAGTACCCTGTAATCACGCCACTACCAACCAAGCCGCCTGTGCCGCTATATCGCCGGGGACTGGGCGCCCAGCTTGTGCAGAGGATGACAGGCGCCATGCGTTATGCCAGTGAGCGAGCACTGGAGTGTCCTGTTACTGGTAGACATCCCCGTCCATTCTCGGTGCTGTGAGGTTATCATTGCTAACGCTGTCCTAGATTGGAGGACGGAGACCGCCAATTTCATCAGCCGGCCTGATGAGGCGCATTTCTCATCGAGCCATGAGGGCGCCCCACGTGCGATACCCTTCTGCACGACCACCTGTCATAGTGAGTGCCGCGAGCTCAACCTACTTTCCGTTGCTGTCCCGTCGGCTAACAACCTGTAGATAGTAGTCTTGTCGCGGTGGGCGATGAAGAAGGCTATGTACGACTGCTGGACTCCAACAGAGAGTTCTCAAAAATCCACCTGTCTTTCCAAGTTCACGGGAACGCCATCATTGACCTGGCCTTCTCCGAGGACGATCTCCTGTTGGCTACCGCATCCGGCGACCAGACGGCCAAAGTAGTTGACATGATGACGCAGCAGCCCGTCTCAATTCTCAGCCATCACACAGCATCCCTGAAGCAAGTGAGGTTCCAACCGGGCCGGGGCCAAGGCTGCGTCCTCGCAACCTCTGGCCGTGACGGCAGCGTGCAAATATGGGACCTTCGGTGTCGCGGCGGGCCCGTCCAGGATGTTCCAATCGTTTCCGAGGCTGGTCTTCATCACCGTTTGCCAAAGCCGCTGAACCCAGGCTGTGTAGTTAACAGCATCTACGGCGCCCATGCACGAACAACGCGGCAGGCAAAGGTCCAGACAACCAACTCCGCGTCCGGTGACGTTGCTCGCCTCGGCGAAGTTCCCGGCCGAGTCGGCGAGGTATCCGTCACAGCGCTGCAGTTTCTGCCCCCCGGACGAGAGCACCTTCTTCTCTCCGCCTGCGAGGCCGACGCCAGCGTCAAGCTCTGGGATATCCGGGCCGTGCATACCAGTCGGCACCACAAAGCTGCCACGCCCGTGTCCTTCACGGCTCCACCTCCAAGCCATGTCGCCTTCCGCCCCTTTGGTATCTGCTCCATGGCCCTCGGTGGGGATGGCACGCGCCTTTACACGCTCTGCAAAGACAACACAGTCTACGCCTACAGCACCGCCCACCTGGTCCTCGGCCACGCAACGGAACTCACCCCTGCCCGCCCTGGTGCTGAGCCTCCGCGGAGGAGACACCACCCCCATGGCACCGCCCACGAAGGGCTTGGTCCGCTCTACGGCTTCCGCCACCCTCTCTTCCACGCCACGAGTTTCTACGTCAAGGCCGCCATCCGCCGCGCAGCCGACGGCCGCTCGGAGCTGCTAGCGGTCGGCAGCTCCGACGGCGCAGCCGTCCTCTTCCCCACGGACGAGCGCTACATCAAGCACGCTTGGACATCGCCGAATATCGAGCAAGAGGCCTACTACGTCGGTGCCACCACCGCCATGCTCGAGGAGACCCCTAGCCCCTCGCTCGCGCAGCGTCCCGGCGCGCCGACGACGCTGACGCCCACGAACAGCATGAGCAACCTGTTCTCATTGCGCCACTCGGATTGTCCCGTGCCTGTCGTGCGCCGGGGGACGCCACTGGTGCGCGGCCATTCTAAGGAGGTCGGGGCAGTGGCCTGGACGAGCGACGGCAAGCTGGTTACCGTGGGGGACGACTTTCTTGTGCGATGCTGGAGCGAAGACACAGAGAAGGCGACTGATCTCCGGGAGGGCGGGGAGACGGGGGGCCGGAGATGGGGTTATGGGTGGGCGGATGTTGGGGATCAGTGGTCGGGCGATACGGATGATTGGTGAGGGTCTGGTCATCATTACCTTACGCCCGTTTGGGGCATGTTCTTTCATTGTGCATGGGTTTAGAGCATGGGGAGGCATTGCCTGCTCTGGATGAATGGGTACATATACCCCGTGTTGGATTGCATCTGGTTTTGGCGGGTTTCGCCCAAGATGGTGTAGCGTAGGCGCTTGGCTTGGGTCTGTCTACCAGCAGACATGCATAACCATGGAATAGGAGTTACGGCGCATAGGGACTGTTTCATGTCCCGTCAGTAGCGATACAGGACGGCGGTGTCCCTCTACGACAAAGAATACTTAGCCACAAGTCCGACTTGTGTCAGCGCGCAGCGTTTGTCAGATCTTCGAGCGGTTGTTTTGAGTGTCCGGCATCCTTAACCCCTATGACATGCAAATTACAGAAGATTGGCGCTCAAGAGAAGCATTCAGTGTTGACGTCAATGGTCTATCATAGCATACGCTGGGTATCCCGAGATCATCTATGACCCAAACAAGCAAAACGATGGAAAAGGCCCGGCATGTTTCAACCGAGGCAAGAACGCTATACCGCACTCCTGTCAGCCCCAGCAGGGCCGCGCTCCTTGTCGTCCGCGTCTTCTTCCTGGCTCTCGTGATTGACGAACAGGAATGACATGAACACAACCCCCGCTCCTACCCAGTATACCCAGCTTGAATACTGAGAGTACTGGATCATCTCGCCAATCAGTGACAAGGGAATATTCAGGGACAAGCCGACCGTGACAACGAGCGGCGTCGTGAGCAGCATTGCGTATGCCCACAGGATGTCGCTGAAGAAGGAAGCAGCAGAGTTCATCTAAAATCAAGTTAATACGCTCCCCAGGACTGTGCTTGTTGCCATGGGTGTCTTACCGCGATGATCACCCAGACTCTACCCGTCGGCGGCAGTTCGAACTGCACGGTTGAGTCAGCACACACGCGCGTAAGCTGTAAGTTAGTCGAAGGGGAAAACTCACCGGTTCAATGCCGGTGAAATGTAGGATGAAGAACCCCGGCCACAGCAATACCACGTTGAACAAGCCCACGAGGCCGAAGAACAAGGGCATGTTCACCCTATCCTCATTTCCCACCCTCCTTTTCATGACGGTGACGTAGACACCGTATATTATGGCGCTAAAGAACGCCATGGCATCCCCAATTGCAATCTGCGCCGTCGACTTGTGCGGAAAGCTGCCGCGATTATCATCGTTGGCCCCCGACAGATCAACCGAGGAAATGAGTATGACCCCGGTCAAAGACGCGAGCACCCCTATCAGCTTCCGCACCGTAAAGCTCTCGACCCTCGTGAGAGCGCAGAATATGAGCGTCCATATGCTGCTCGTCGACGTCAGGATGGTCACACTGCCGACGCTGGTATATTCGAGGCACGCCGAGGCGAAGTAGTTGGCGGCAAACCACAGCATCGAGAACTCGAGACTGAGCCGCGCCGTCTCACCCAAGCCGAGCTTCTCTTCCTTGCGTGGCGAGTCCAGCGCCTCCAGACTGCCCTCATCATCGACGAGCAACCGCTCCCCGGCGGCGGCATCCTCGTCCCTGCTGCCCTCCTCCGCTTCATCATCTCGCGTCTTGAGTGGCACCAACCCGAACCGCCGGCCCCGCCACATCGCCAGCGCGCCAGCCACCAACGGATCCGTCCCATTCTGCATGGCGTATCGTATCGTAATCGGGATAAGCGAGACGGCAAAGCACGAGGTGTTGACGTAGACGAGGAAGAACGGCTTGTTGTATGTCCCGTCGGAGAAGATATACTGCAAAAACAATTGTTGGGGTCAGCCCGTCTGTTCCATCCTTCCCAGCCATCCCTTTCCTTCCGGGGATTCACACGCACACTCGCCAAGAAGTTTGACAGCGTCCATAGAAACACGACCACAAGCAATAGCGCAATGCCGAGAGTGCGACGCGCAACCCCGGCCAGACCGAGCGTTTCCCTAATATTAGCGCCACTGCTGGACGACGCTGCTGACCTTGAGTCTGTTGTTCGGTCGGAGGACGGAGACCGGGAGAGCATGGGTCCTGCTTCTGCTGCTGCGAGCATGGCTGCTGTGACGGAATGCGACCTGCGCCTGGAAGAAGCAGAAGAAGAAGTAACTGGCGGGTTGTAGGTGTTGTGATGGCTTGTATGTCCCGTGTCTTTCTGCTCGGGCGCCAGATCGCCTGGTAGGAGCGGTTCGACGGGTGCCATGTCGTAGCGTGGTATCTCCCTCGATAGCGCTAGGTCGGCGGGAAGGATGACCGGGAAGTGTGATGTAGGCGTCTGCGTGTACTTATGTATAGGTTTACTTTCTCGAGTCTGAAGGAACGAACGGAGGCGGCCCGGCGAACGGAGAGGAGGGGTTCTGCATCCTACGGGTGGTGAATTCCAAGGAGAAGGCCGAGGGTTCGGCGAGGTATCGACGGACGCCAGCTTTGGAGAGAGGTAGTGGATTTGAATGAAGAAACGAACTGAAAAGTCAAAGGGGTGGAGGGAGCGAAAGAAAGGGTCGCAGCCACTGTCACAGCAGCCTGAGCAGCGTGTGAATGACTGTGGAGTTGCAACGCCGGACTTGGGATATTGGTGCATGCGACGGAGAGACAGGGCAGTCGCCAAGCCCGCCCCTGACCAGGATATTCCAGAATCAGGGTTAGGGCTGTAGCTGGACGTGCCACCGGTTGAATCTCATTTCCAAGCTCAGCAAACTTATATAAATACTAGTACTTGCATATAAAGTACTATGCCAGTAGGTGAATGCTATATTAATATATTTAAAAGAAGGAATAAAATAGATATAAGCTATTATTATATATATATATATATATATATTCTCCTACTCCGCTATGCCTAGCTATTTACAAGGCGCGCCGGACCCTCTACTGCTATGTACAAAGGAAAAACCGTACCGTTTAGGCCGGGTGAAAACCTTCATCAAAAATAATAGGAAAGACATGGTTCCAGTGATACACACTGCTGCAAGTAAAGAAAAAGGCCTTGGGAAGGCCTTGGGCCAACGGCTAGTAGGGTGCTAGCCCAGCTAAGCCGTGGCCACGAGTGTGGTTAGCCGAGCTCCCTGGCTTCCAGTTCCTGATCTAGGTTCTGGGCGAGCCTGTATTCCCCTAGCCGGCCCGAGTTCATCAGCCAACCCAGTACCTTCTTCAGAAGTCTTCGGTTCTGGTAGCCTAGGCCCTGTAAAACAAGGCTAAGGTCCCAGTGGGTGCGTATTAGTTGCCTAGGCCAGATTCTTAGTATAGGTGGTATAGAGCACTAAACTACTAGGTGCTCCACTGTCTCCCGGCCTTCCCCGCATTCGCAATAGGGGGTAGGCTGGTTACGGGCCTTTTGTTTAAAAAGGAAGTCCCGTAGGCCTATAGCCTCCGTACGGGCCTGTACTAGTAGGGAGCTCTTAGCCTTGTGTCACGAGGGCCGTCATTCAAGGCCAGGGTCAAGCCTCTGGTGGTAAACTGACTGCATTGCAAGAATATTGAACTTGCAGGAGGAAAGGAATCCTCGAAGACTGCAAGGTGCGAAGAAGTCTAAATACAGGATGTGGAGCATGTGCCCAGATGTGGAAGGTGGGGCACCAACCAGGTTGACCAATCAATGGCCTATGCCATGGTACGGTGGGTTCCACCGTCACACCTTGTAAGGCCTTGGTGTTTCCGTAGGCCTTGGTTTGTGAAGAGAACTGTTGGTAGGCCTTCGTCGGCTAGCCTGGTTGGCTGTCCCTGGACCTAGGTTTTCCACCTGGCCTCCCAAGCTCTTAATAATGCCCAGTCATCCTGGGTCTTAGCCAATGGTGGGCCCAAGGCTTTAGCCTGGGCGTTCCATTCGGCCACTATAGCCGAGGCCTTTTCGACGTCTATTGGCTTTTCTGGGCTCCGGGGCCGGCCCCGTAGCCTCCGGAACCTTCGTTGGAGCCTGTTGCAAGCCCCTTGGCCTTGAAGTCCTTAGATTATCACTCTACAAACGTGCTACCTAAGCGTAATCGCGAAGATCCGCCTTATAGAGGTAATCTAATCAGAGAGGCAAGGCCAAACCTCTCTACCGGACCAAGCATAATAATACTAGGCCACGGGACTCCAAGGTTTGCATCTTAAGCCCTCCACAAAAGGCACAATACTTCCTCCCTCTTGGATGACCGACACGCGCGTCCGTCCTCTCCGGCCGGCTATACTACTCCTTCAGAGCTATGAGTTCCTTGTAGCGGCGACACCATACATTTGATCTCCAGCTATAGTACTCTCTAGTACGTCCTGTCGGCGGTTTCCTCCTCTATCGTACGCCTCTAGCTAAGGGAGCATACTCCCCGCCGCATACGATATTCCTATGGGTCCCTCGCCGAGGGAATAGCTATATCTCTCCTATGGCCTGGGTGCGAGCCAGGGCCATACTTCCGTCATCTTCCTCTCGGTCTAGTATAGCCGCCACGGCCTATCTTCCGCCAGGTGCAACCCTGACTTCCAGCTTCCCGTTGCCTTACTAGGTCTCCCTCACAAGGCCGACCGTGTCTTGCAGCAGGCCGTTGTATGAGCTGCCACGCCGGCATAGCTTGCTCGGTCGCTCTGCTACTAACCTGCCCTGATCCACCTGCCTTGCCTCCTATCCTCAGATCCAACTATAGTGTTACAAAGGGCGAAGTACCTCGCAAGAGGGCCCGGCCGCCCGTGTTGCCTCCCTTAACGAGCCCGTATTCCCTCTCTCTCCTGCTCTTATAGTTGGTCGTACGATCGGTCGGCGATGCCGGCTTTTGCTCTATATCCTCGTCGCTGTACGACTAGCCCTCTAGCGTTCGTTGTAGGCGCCCTTAGAACCGGGTAGGGCCAGGGATGCCCTATCTCTTCTTCAAAACGTCGAAAGAGTCGGGTGGTTTTCGTACCCAATGTCCCCCTAGTCTTGTAAACTTGTTGCAGGTAGATTGTCGTGGTTGTCGTCAATGGTGGTCGTCGTGCGGGGTAGTGCGGGATTTTCGGTGCACTCGAAAATCCTTACTTTCTTGTCGCGAAAACCAGCAATCCGACAGCCACACGGCCGCGTAGAAGCTGCGCGTCGCTGCAACCCCTTGGAATCGAAAGAACAGATCGCAAAGGACCTAATTCCCGATTTTTGCGATGCCCGGCCGCCCGCGTAGGCGGCCCCCGATGTTTGTTCACCGGGAAGGGTAGTTGATATATATATTACCCTACTTAGAAGTCGAATTTATGATCTTCTTGATAGAATAGCCTAAGTGAGGCACAAGTCACGTGACCCACAAATTGGGAAATATATTATAATTCTAGGTCAGCTACTGTGATGACTAGATGCAATTAAATAAGGTCAAGCTAGCTGTTGTTGTCATTCTATTTCGTGAATCTAAGGTTGAGGAAAGGAAAGAGAAGTTCTGAGTCAGTAGCTCAAAGCATTATAGGAAGATATTCCTAATTTATGGGTCATATGACCGGTGCTCCACAATAGCCATCAATTAGAGAGGTCGTGTGTCACGAATTAACCAACAGCAGGCTACAAGGCAGACAGCCGCATGTGGGGACATGGGGGCGTCCCGAGCTAATCATTTGGACAACTAGGCGGACCAGTCAGAGACAGGCAAAGGTGCTAAGGTGCCAATGTCGCTGAGCACTCTGCAGGATGTAAGCGATCAGAGTGATCAGGGGCATATCACGATAAGCACCTGGGTGCTCATCTGAATTGAAGCACTAAGCGCCCAAGAAGATAGCTAGTATATAGTCACTCGTTCTGGAGGACTCTGGGAGTTCTCTAGTGAGCAATACAAGCAGTAAGGTAGCCCTATATTACTATATAGACATTGCGACTTGCATTGTTGTGAACCTTTTGGCTTCACCGAGACCTACAGTCCGACTAGCAGATACCTTCGACCGGCGAACCCTTTCAGAGGCAGGACTGCCTATGGTTTCATCATACATTGCTCACTCCCTTTAACTCTATCACGGTTCAGATCGAAGGTAATATTGACTATTATAGCGCCTTAGATATCTAGCACCCTAGGATCTCAGGGCCAGACCACAACCATATAGTAGATGCAGTAGGTTATCGAAACCCTTAATATAAGGATTGCCTAGCTTAAGGCTCAGAATGACAATACTCAGGTCCTTAAGACTCAACGACAAGATCGCCTAGCTCGAGGCCGAGAACAGCAATATATAGTAATTTGTCAACAAGGCCTATAACGGCAAGCCTAAAGATAAGGCTAAACTCGAAGTACCCCCTAAGTACGGAGGTGACAAAGAAGGATTTACTAGATTCCTTATAATTATAAGGGCCTACCTTAAGTACTACCCGGACAAGTTTATAGACGAATCTACTAAAGTTATATTTATCTCCTTACGGCTTGAGGAGAGGGTACTTCGATAGTTTAAACCTACCCTTAAGGATTGGCTAACTAATAGTATAGACGTTTAGAACGACTTCACTATTGAAATTTTCAAGTCGTACGACAAATTTAAGCAGGAAATCCAAAAGATATTCGGAGACTATAATAAGAAGTTTTATATATAGGAGCGACTTATATACCTAAGGTAGATAAAGTCGGTGGCTACCTATATTATATAGTTCTGCTAGGATTTACTTTAGTATAAGATTAATAATAAAGGTCTTATATAGTTATTCTATAATAGCTTAAAAGAAGAAGTCAAGGATAAACTATACTAAAAGGACTAACCCGATGCGCTTAACGAATATATTGCTATAGCCATCTATATTAACGACCGAATTTATACCAGGCATTAGTAGTATAAGGGATATAGAATATAGCCTATATTCGTTAAAGCTAATGATAAGAAAAAGTGATAGTACCCTAGTATATTATATAGCACCTACGCTAGTCCGATAGACATAGATACTACCTAGCGTAAAGATGTCACGAATTAACCAACGGCAGGCTGCAGGGCAGACGGCCGTATGTGGGGACGCGGGGGCGTCCCGAGCCAATCATTTGGACAACTAGGCGGACCAGTCAGAGACAGGCAAAGGTGCTAAGGTGCCAATACCGCTGAGCACTCTGCAGGATGTAAGCGATCAGAGTGATCAGGGGCATATCACGATGAGCACCTGGGTGCTCATCGAATCGAAGTACTGAGCACCCAAGAAGATAGCTAGTATATAGTCACTCGTTCTGGAGGACTCTGGGAGTTCTCCAGTGAGCAATATTACAAGCAATAGCCCATACCTATTGTGCAGACATTGCGGCAAGCATT